AATAGAAGATCAAACTTTTGGACCTACAGAACAGTATTTTAATGTGAAAAATATATGCTGATTGCTTTCAGAATATAGTTTTTAGTATAGATGATTACTCTTTCTTGTAAAATATGCCTGTTTTTATTCTTGTCCCATTGTCACGGTGAGTAATTGAAAATAATAATGTTTAATTTTTTTATCTTTTAAAATAACTATTTCTTATATTTTGTCCTTCCAAAAGGTCATTGAAATTACTTTTAATAATTTTAAAGTGAAGTGTTAAGAATATTAAAAAGAGTAAAATACAAGAATAAATCGAAGATCTAGCTTTTGGATCTAAGTACAGTTATCTAATATGAGTAATATATGCTGATTGCTTTCAGAATATTATTTTTCGTATAACTGATTAATCATCCTTGTAAAATAAGTCTATTTTTGTTCTTGTTCTATTGTCACTGTAAGTAATTGAAAATAATAATACATAGCATTAAAAAATGAATTGCAATTTTATGTTTAAATTTTTCATCCCTTAAAATAACTATTTCTTATTTTTTGTCCTTCCAAAAGGTCATTGAAATTACTTTTAATAATGAAGTAAAGTGTTAAGAATAATCAAGAAAATAAAATATAAGAATAAATTGAAGATCCAACTTTTGGATTACAGTTATCTAATATGAATAATATATGCTGATTGCTTTCAGAATATTATTTTTCGCATTGATGATTACTCTTTCTTGTATAATATGCATGTTTTTATTCTTGTCCCATTGTTATAGTAAGTAGTTAAAATTAATAATGTATTTCGTTTAAAGATGAATTTCAATATTATGTTTAAATTTTTTATCATTTAAATTAACTATTTCCTATTTTAATCCTTTCAAATAGTCATTGCAATTATCTTTAGAAATGTTATTTAAAGTATAGTGTTAAGAATAATCAAGAATAGAAACTAGTGCTAATCAAGCAGAATGTGCAAAGCAAAAAAATCGGATAACTTTTGATCTAATGATGGTATTTTTCTCTGATAAAACAGAACATTTTTGACATTACCATCATATCTTAAATCAATAAATATGGAAGTTCATTAAAGTTACGCAATTGCTTGCCGAAACATAATTTTGTCTAATAAACATTTATTTTTTGACAGATTTTTAATCTTTAAAATATGAAACGGGCGCAGTCCAGGAAAATACGATCCCCTTATGTTTTGCCAAAATAATGTTCGAAAGTTCTTCGTTTCTATGTCAATTTTTGTTTCTTTGGCCATACTTTAAACTTTATTTTTATTAATGAAATTTCAACCATTAACTAATTTGTATTATGAAAATATTTATGGAAATATGAATAAATTAATTCCAAGAATTTTTAATACGTAAGACAATTGAAAAATGAATTCGATTTTTTTTTTTTAATACTGACAGTAATTTTAAAATGTGTGTCATCCAGCTTTTGCCCATATCCTATCCCGTTTTCGCCCATAGTATGATGGATCGAATGGTTGTGAGTAGGACTGGGTGATAAATCGATTAATCGCGAAATATCGATTTATCGCATACATCGGCAAGCCGGTAGAATGATTTTCGTTTTAGGCGATGCATCAGAAATCTGATTTAAGCCACCGGTACAAGCTCGTGGTTTAACGATTTAGCGTGCGAGGATTCTTGCCTACGCTAACGCTGTCACCTCGCTGACGATGACAGCAATGCAATTTAATCGGGGTATTTAATATTTTACTTTGTTATAAAAATTAGTTTTTCTAAAAATTTATTTTATGCAGGTAAGAATAATAATTTGATGGAAAATTGCAAGTATTGTGTCTATTATTATTATTAATTCCATAAATCTTCAGTCGTTTTTAATTATAAAAAAATTAAAACAAAGCCTACATTTATTTAATTTGCTTCGCTTGAGAAAACAAAAACAAAGTATGCGTTATTTATTTGTAAAAAAAATTGACTATTAGCTAAAACAAATAATTTTTTTTAATTAAATAGAAAGTTCAGCAATGTTTTGACGCTTTTTAATAATTTAACAATCTATATTATATAAAACGCTAATACGTATGTATCAATAAAACCGATGATATTTCTTTTCTCGCGCTGGCAACAGTTTTCATTTTTAACTGTTAGGCTTCGGCGTGCAAGAGCACGTAGTGAGCATCATATGGCTAATCTATATTATATAAAACGCTAATACGTTTTAATTGATAGGCTTCGGCGCGCAAGAGCACGTAGTGAGCATCATATGTCTAATTGGGTGAATTCTCACCGAATTATCAAAAAAATTCTCACAAAATTATCCTCATCGAAGCCGATGCTTTACACCCGGCGTTCAGTACTATTTCATATCGTTTTACAACACATGGTTTTAGCCCTCTGGTGGGAAAGACTTTAAAACAAAACTTACAACAGTTACTTTTCTCAACAACTGAAATTTAGAAGAGTGTGATTAAGAAAAATATGTGAACTGTTTGCAATTTCAAATTAATATTGAAATGCACAGGTTTAGAATTTTCTACAGTGAAAAGTTTTCAGTGTTCAAAAAAGTATACAAAAGCTAGACGTTAAGAACGTATTCAATGAGCGAGCAAAGCGAGCATTGGATTGCGAAGCTATCCGAAATGAACTGCGAAAGTAGTTCCGGGGGTTGGTGAGCGCCAGCGAGAAGGGGGCGAAGACAAATTTCCAAGTTTCAGAAGAAAAAAAAAGTTTGTTTATTCAGAGAAAGACCTTCACATGTAACCTATGACGCCAGCTGATCGTTTCTAAGCAAAATGGCGTGTTAAGGTTGTACTAAGTGTCTCCACATGTTAGAATGCTAATTAACGTGAAGTTAATTAAATTCGATTAACTTCACGTTAATTAACCACGTCGTTAATCACGTGAATTCGATGTGCGATACAGCACCGTATTCTACGTGCGATACAGCACCGTGTGCGATACAGCACCGTATACAGCACTCGTCTACGTCTTTTACTCAATTTCTTTGATTTATTATTTGTTTATGTATTTTATTGTAACTGTGAGGGGAAAAAATTGTGTATCTGGCAACTCCGATACATAATTAGTTTGTTTATGTTCTACATGGCTTCATGCCTGTCTATGTGTTAAGTAAGAAATATACAGTGAAACAATTGAAATCTTTGTGTTAGAATGTGTCATTTAAGAATATACCATTTAAGAAAATTGATGCTTGCTGGGCTTGACTTACTCGAAGTAAAATAGAAAGAACAGTTGCTGTCATAAACAAATAACATGTTTCAACAACCAATCAGGATCGAGATACCCTCACTACGTCACTCGCAGGTATATCATTAGCATATTTTTGGTTATTCCTTCGAACTATTCGGATTAAGATAAAATTACTAATTAGAATTACGAGTTCCTGAACATGAAAATCCGATCATTATATAAAAAATTGGACAGGATATTCACTTTCTTATTTATCGTATAACACGACAAAAAATAACAACTATCTTACTTTTATGCACTAGTGCTCAATTAAATGTTTCGAATACCGAAACTAAAATATGTTTGTTAATTTGCGCAGACGATATTTTAAATTACGAAATCAGACTCAAAAACGCACTCATCGTACTTTTTTTCCCCGGCGGTTTAACTTCAACTGCAAAATATGGTCATAAAAGTTAAGGCAATTGAGTGGTTGAAAGGTTGTTCATCGTATGTTAATTTCACTTATTGACTATTTATTTATTATATTTATTTTAATTTATTTAATTTAATTTTATGTACTTTTGTTTAATTTTATTTATTTTTATTTAATTTTATTTATTATTTTGACTCCAAATACACAGCCCTAATATCCAAACCCAATTAAAAATAAAAATTTCAATTTTTCTCAGTAGAAAAGTGATTGAATTTTCTAGTGCAATGTTAGAATTAACGCTATCATAACATTTTAAATTCTCACATGGAACATTCTCACTTAGGAAAAAATGGTTTAAATAACAATTTATTCAACTGCTATTCTACCATATTCGACCGAAACAGACAAATAACCTGCTAAGTATGAGAAAAATCATCCATTGAGTGTTATTTCCTAATACGGTTGAACAACAAGAATTTTATTTACGCCAACTAGGCCCACAGCTAATGAGAGTAGAGCGCATGTTCTTCGAAAACTGGTAGCTAAGGCACGTGATAAGAATCACGTATTCATATTTTCATTTTCCATCATTGCAAACCTAACACAACGCCGGATGCCTAATAATTTCATAGTAATAAGTGTGTGGTAAACACCTTATGAAGCCACTATAAACCACTTAGTTCTTAGCAGCTGGGTTGAATCTGGCCTTCTAGTTGGCCATGATCTGGGCGTACCACAATATTTCCTCCATTCCTTCAACGCATGAGGAGTTGTAATAACCAGCACTCTTTAATTGGTGGTCCTTGACAATTGGTATACAAATTCACGCATACATGGCAGCATAACAAAGCTGTTTAGGACTAAAAAAGTATCTAGTATTTCCAATACTCTAGTCTAATCAACTAGTATAAACTAATTGAGCCACATTACTCGATTCACCTACCAAAACAAAACTCACCCATAACCTAACTCCAATATCCATTACCTAATGAAAAGTAATGTTCAGTTAAATTTAATTTTTTTGATTTTGAAACCATGCTAGTAGCAAATGGTTATAAGAATTCGCAGTTTTTCAACCATACCAGTTGTAGAAGGTTTCAAACCCATAAAGGTAAGGAAATCTTCCTAACCTTACACTTTACGGTTAATTGAATGGACAAGACTGCTACCGGTTATTTTACCGTAAATTTAGAAGGAAAGTTCTAACAGTGTAATGCTTCTCTTTTAAATAAAACAAATATTAAATATCTGCTTCTCCTGAGATTTTTCGATAAAATTTCAATTGTACGTACATTAATCGTAAATTTTTTAGTTTTTAAGTTTGTTGTCTCGCGAACTAATGTAACTGAAAATTATACAATAGCTTTATTTTCACATTTTAATAGATAACATAATAGGCATTTCTTAAGTGCAGCTGTTTATATAAGTGGAGAAACAAGTGTAATTGAAAAATTAATTGCAACACAACATTAGAGTTCAACAAGATACGGAACAAGTTAGCTGTCTTTGCATTTATTGGGTAAGTATTTCTTTTATTTCTGTGAGTTTATATTTTATATTTAACTACTACTAATTCGGAATTCTTTCGTGCTACTTTCTATTTATTCCTATTCTGTTCTATTCTTGTTAACATTTGTATAAGTAATATAAAAATCTAAATATTTTTACTTTATTAAAGCTTATCATTTAACAAATTGTATGTTTTGATCAGCATTTTTTCTAGTTTGCTTCGAGAAATATCACCAAAATGACGTCTCTGCCATATCTGATTTATACGCTTTTTCATACTTTACCCCTGCATAGATATACTCCGAAGACTACGAATCACTTCCGAAATGAATATGACTACATAATAGGTAAGTAACAACAATTAATTTTTTTAATGACAAATTAATATTCACTATTAGATGAGAAACCTAGTTTTTGATTAACATCGTTCATATTTACTTTTACTTCTTCATAAGAATATAGTAATAGAAAGAAAACTTTTTTAAATATTATAAACTGGAAAATAATATAAGAAGTACAAATGTAAAAATTAAATACAGACAGATATTAGTATTAAACATACTAACAGTTCTAAATCAGAACATTAATACTAGAGATGAATGGAAATAATTAATTTTAGTGTGTATTGCAGTATGATAGGTGGTTTAGAAGTGGCGCTTCGCGTGCTCCTGCCACAGGTCCGAGGTTTTATCCTCGCATTGGGTTTGGTTGACTTAGATTTTCATCCCTTCAGTGGGTCAATAAAATGGGTAGAAAGCAAGCTTGGGAACATAACACTGAGGGTTTCGCATTCTGCTGTCTGCACAACAGCAACATCATCTCAGCTTCCCAGAGCCCAAAGGTCAAGAAAACACAGATAGGCACACAGTAGGCCTTTCATAGGCCGTTGCAAGCCTGAGAGAAGTTTTAGTTCAGTACAATACTCATGAATAGATAATATGTAAAATGTAATATTAGTATCATAACATTTTTAGTCTTTTTCATTTTCTCCTAATTCATTCAATTATATATAGCTGGCTTAATTTTCATCTTTTCAACAAAATTTGAAAAGATAGCTATTTAAACATAAATTGATGAATTCTAAACAAATATAATGATCACCAATTCATACAGTATTCATGACTAAATAATGTGTAATATTAGTATTATAAGAATTTTAATGTTCTTCATTTTCTGTTAATTCCTCCAATTGAGTATAGCTGATTTAATTTTTAACTTTTCAACAACATTTAAAATAAGAGCAATTTAAGCATAAATTGATGGTTTAAAAAAAACATAACTATCGCAAATCTCGACTTTCCTCGTGACTTAATAATTAGCGAAATTTAATATTAATATCATTTGTTCTTTTGTATTTTTATTTTCTGATAATTAAATCGATTGTATATAGCTGACTAAATTATCAGCCTTTCAATAAAATCTATAAATATAGTCGTTTTAACATAAATTGATGGATTCACAAAGATTATAAATATCACAAATTCATCCATTACTTATGACTAAATCTTGGTCAAAGAATACGTGTTCACCAAGGACTAAATAATGAGCTAAATGTGACATAAGTGACAAAAGATTGTTCGAATGGGATTATAAACTTAAGAAAATGGGTCGTTTGTAGTCCTCTAAGCAAGAACCTTCCTCGGTCTCAAAACACAGAAAGTGTCTTTGCATTTACATGTATTTTGACAGTAAATAAAGTTCTTGTTTACAGAACCGAAATATCCCTTCCATTTCCATGCTGTCTATTTTCACTTTGATTAGTTTTTTGTATTCTGTGCAATGTTATGCTGTTGTATGAAAACTAAGCAATCATATAAAAATACTATTTTTGAAAGTCATGAAGCATTTATTTTCGCCAAAGTGGGTGCTGGTTCTGCTGGATCTGTCGTAGCAAGTCGTTTGAGCGAAGAGAAATGTGTCACAGTATTGCTCCTGGAAGTTGGCAATACACCTACCATATTGACAGAAATACCTATTTTGTCATCTGAGTGGGTAGGCTCAAATCTGGACTGGAAATTCAAATCAGTCCCTCAAAGGCATTGTGCATCGGCCCTTACAAACAGAGTAAGTAATCGTCTTAGTAAAGTAGAATTTAAGTACGCACTTTTTCTTTAAAAATGATTTTATCTGCATAGTTTATGTTTTCTTAACTTCATTTATTAAATGTAGAGTTCTTGAGTCTAAAGACAGTTACGACAGATTCAAAATTGTCCAGGTTAGGGTTGCGAAAAGGAATGCTTATGGAATCAATTACCACACTTGGCAAAGTTTCCTTCAAATTACGATTTCTTACTCCGCGTTAAAATTCTGTAACAAGCTACGTTTGGTTTTAATCCTTGCTCCGGGATTAGTTAAAATATGCCAAAGTAGCATAAAATAATCTATATACATAATTCACTTGTCTTTTACTATAATTCGAGTCGTATTTAATTGGCTGCGTTGGCAGCAACTATTGACTGTTTTTGATCACTTTGTTTGTGGATAGTCGATGTACGTTGCTAATTTATGACGAATATCAACAATGATCAAATGCCACTTATGACGGACGACGAAAAAGCTAATGAACAAATTACAGTTTCTTTAATAACTCAAGGTCGTTCAAGGTTATTTCTTTAAAGGTGAAATATAAGTATGGCTGGGTGATCGTGTAAAGCTGAGGGTGTGGTGGCGCTAGTGGCTAACTTAATTAGGCTAACTTAAAAAGATATTTTAAAAGATATTTCTGACGACATTTTATTCAAATGTAGCCAAATAAGGGATAAAATACAAAACATGGCAAATCTTAAGAATTATTCACAATGAGATATTAACTTTCCAAAATTTTTTTGGCCTTACGACCTCTGAGAATCAATACATTTCTGAAAGCTCTTAGGAATGGTACAATTATGTTTAGATTTGAACCCAAATTACAATAACAAAACTGCATAGAATATTAGGCTTGTTCACACATCGCCTCGTAGTCATAACATAAGCGGAGGGATACACCGGAAATTTTCTAAATTTCTTCCGGTTTAAGGACGCTTGTTATTGTTTACATTAGACCACCCATCCATATTTTAAGGGGTTAGAAAGCAACATTTTGTTTTTTGCTTTTTTTGTTTTGCAATGTTATTAGTATATCGCTGGCTACACCGATTTCCAGCATTGTTTTATAGTTGTTCTTAGCTGAAGCGCTATCTGATGACGAACTTTGTAACTAATTTTGAATCTTGGTCATAGTAAATTTGTTTCACTGAGCATAAATGGAGTAAATCATATATTTGTATCTCCTTTTACTTTTCTTAAATATGTTTTTTCTATTAGAACACCAAGCAGCAAATTCTAGATTAAAAATTATTATTCGAGCGACTTTAATTTATGCTGAGATACGTACTTTCATACTTCAACTAATTGAGACATTTTTTTTAAAATTTATTTTGAAAAATTAAATAAAGTTTAAAAATTTGTACATTATAGCAAATTATGATTCCAAGTGGTAAAGCAATAGGTGGAACAAGCGTTATAAATGATATGTTGAGTATTCGAGGAAATCGCCATAACTATGATGAATGGGCAGCTATGGGTGCAAAGGGCTGGAGCTATGATGAAGTCTTACCATATTTCAAAAAACTGGAGGACTATAGAAACAGGCACTCGGCGGATGCTTGTAAGTGACATGCACTGCATAATATGGAACAATAATTTTGGATCTAATGATCGGATTTTTCCCTAAGTGAGATGGGTTTTAATGTAAAATGGTTCGAGGCAATATTTACTTGAAATAGGTTAAACGGCTGGCTAGAAATAAAACTTTTTCTTTTTCTTCGAAATAAAAGAAAGGAAGTTGTATTTTTAAATTTCCATTTCTCAAGAATTATTCTACTTCGGTCAAATTTTGAATCCTTTCGTTTTTTTAAAAAGTTCAAAATGGAATTCTTTCATTTTTTTTATCAAAGTTAAATAAAATGTAAACATTTGTAGATATCAGTTTTCAAAAATTTACCGATAACTGTGTAATTAATTTAAAAAAATATTTTTTGGCATCTTGGGGTAAACACAAACCTTATACTTTTGGGTAAATACAAACCCTATACTTTTGGGTAAAATCATTTTAATTCGTATAAAAAGCGCAAAAAGGAAAATTAGCATTATGGTGCTCAATTGTTGGACTACTTTTCTAGTTGATCTAGCGCTACCATATTTTCCAGATTTTTAGTAACCCTCGTATTTTGAAGTCCAAAACTTCAAATCCATCGGAGAAATAGTGTGTCAATTCAGGTAAAATTTGCATTTGTGTCTGAATTCGTAAAACTCAAATTATCATACGAATGAATTAATTAGCATATTGAAGGTATGCTCATCGAACCAATAAAAACTACTTACGTGAAAATCCAATTATTAGATCAAAATTTTTTCAAAGTATAGCGTTTTTTTCTCATTTGTTTAGATTTTTTTGCTTAATTTGCATCAATAAAATTACATATTTTGCTTAGTTTAATCAATAAAATTAAGAAAAAAAAACTTTTCTTTATGATTTCATTATCAAAGCTTTCTGAAAGAGTCAAGCATATAAATATAGGATCATCAAAATTCCAAACGATGACTCGGATCAAGTTCTAAAAAATTAATTAAAAGACTAGTTTAATTTGATGTGAAGAAATTTCTATAAAAGTTTCAAGACACATCGATATAGAAGTTTTAAAACTGTAGAAATATTGCGGGTTTTTTTATAAGTTATTCTTTTTTAATAAAACAATTTTATTCAAAGATGAATAAAATTTATACCTAACACTTTTGCTGCACAAACAACTAATGCGCATTAAATCCTAATATTTTTTCAAAACTATTATTGTATGCTAATTTTAAAATATGGTGAACTCATTGACTCTATCAAATCACCGCATTAGTTTTTTTTAAAAAGAATACGATGTCTTATTTGTAAAAAAAAAAAAAAGTTTAGTCTAATTTGTGCTTAACAATTAATATCTTATAGATAATTATGGTCTATCTTATTGTCATGATTAATAGCTATAAATACTCTTATTTTGCAAGATCCTTGTTAGATATAGGTGCCTACTATTTCAAAGCACGTGAAAATTGGAAACTAATGACATAAAAAAAGAAGCAGAAATGTATATATCAGTTGAAAAAATAAACATAGTATGCATAAAAATATCATCATTTTATGTAGGCAATAATAGCCTCGTATAAGATATGTAGCTGAATTTAAATGTTAGTATTTTTCCAGTCTACTTGTCTACTATTTCAAAACACGTTGAAATCAAAAATTGATATTAAATTTCTCGTCCAGTTCTTCTTAAAAGGGAAATAATGTCTGCATTTTAAAAAAACCGAGCATTTATTCTATTGCATGCATACAACTTATTACCATCTAATAGATAGCATTTTCTTTGTAGATTATCATGGGTTTAAAGGACCTATTACTGTCTCAAAGCCTGGTTATAATTCGAAATTGAAAAAATTTCTGACTGAAGCTGTAGTGAGTGAAGGATACCAGTTTGTCGATCCGAACGGACGAAGGCAGCATGGTAACAATTCTATTACACACAGAGATCTAAAAGAAAAATATATCAGCCTATTTAAAAATGCCTATAACTGAAGTCGGTATAGCTAAGTTTAAACTTAAAAAAAGGTTTATTTTCAAATGGGTGATTAAAAGGTAGTTAAAATGTTTAATTTCTGATGATATATTTGAAAACTAGAGTAAATTTCCCAGAAATTCTATACCTGCAAAGCGTCGGTAGGGAAACAATTCAAAGAAGTTTGAGTACCTGAATAATGATTACAGCATTATAATGACGTCAATTTCAGTACAGTTTTAGAATTTTCTCGGAAAAAATGGAAAATTAGCAATTTATTCCATTGTTATTTTACCACATTTAAGCAAAATAGTCAAATAACCATTAATAAGATGGTATTCAAACTATTAACTGTGAGAAAACGGTTTATTAGCTGTTTTCACGTAATACGGTTAAACAACCGGAATTTTAGAGCACCAACTACAATCATCTAATGAAGCCACTTAGTTCTCCCGCTCCCCTTAATACATGAAGAGTTTCCATCATCCTGCACTCTCCAAAACCCATTACCCAACAAAAATTCTATCTCCAAAGTTACTCTTATACGGTTTTGAAAGCATGCTAGTTGTAAATGGTAAAAAGAACGTAAACTTTTGTATTCATGGTTTTATAACCATACTAGTTGTGAATGGTTTCAAAACCGTAAAGGTAAAAAATGTTCTTCCCCATAAATTTTACGGTTAATTGGATGAACAGACTGCTGTCGGTTATTTTACCATAATTTTAGAATGCAAATTCTATCAGTGCATTTCAACGCAGAAAAAAAGAAGATGAGTTTTGAATTTTAATTTTTTTTAAATATTTGTATGATCTATTTATGTATATAAAAAAATTCTCCCCCTCAGAGAGGAATTTTCCCACTACCCCTTAATAACCATATTTTTCCCAAAGTCGTAATTTTTAGGGTTCATCCCATTTTCGATTTCTTGTCTATCTTTTTTAATTTTTCCTCTTAGACTTCTAACAACACTCATGTAAGTTTTCCCATCCCCCTCATCAATTTTTAACAGTTCCTAAAGAAAGCGAGTTTAACCCTTAACCACCCCCCACCTTTCGGTAAACAGAACTTTCTCCAAAGCTTATTCCTAAAACCACGATTTTTTATCATTCTTTTTTAATTTTCATACAAATAAAGTTTCAAATGTGAGTTTTTCCTCTAATATTTTATTTGCTAGTAATAACACAAATAGTATCAGATCGTCTCAATAGTAATAGACACATAAGATATTTTTTTCATATATTATAAATGTACGCATAAAGGTAATTCTTTGAGCAGAATCGACAGATTTTAATAATTCCACTTTTTATTACTTGCGAAATTTAAAAAGATTCTTTTTAAATACCATGTGTTTGATTGAATATCTCTTTCGATGTCAGTTTGCGAAGAGAACTTCTGATGCTCCAATGCATTTGTTATAAATTGAGATTATTGTACCATCTGTAGTGTTTGATATGCGTTTTCAATTTTGTTTCATACGTTGCGTATTGCAGGATTTTATGATCCGGAAGGAACAATACGAGATGGACGACGTTGCAGTACTGCAAAAGCTTATCTAGTTCCGAGCGACAACCGAACCAATCTGGATATTGTACCTAAAGCAATGGTGACCAAAGTAAAAACTTTAAAATATTTAACTTTCTGTTTTATCAAATGTTTTAGCCGGGATAGCATGGTTGACAGGGCACTGGGCCCATGTCCAAGAGTTCGTGGGTTCGATCCCAGGCCGGCCGAAGACTCCTAGTGTAGTAAATGGTGACTGATGCCCGTTAAATCTGTCGAGTCGCTAAGTCCGCAACAGTGCTGACGTGAAATATGTTCCCATAACAAATCAATACCTCTGGGAGTACTGATCCAGGAGTTTCCTTGTCTTCTGGATTGGTTCAAAATTGCAAGGCTACGGTTCATAGCTATAAAATGTTCTAGCTGCGGCAAGGCTATAAAATGTTCTAGTTTGGAGTCGCGAAATCCCATTGGATAGATCGTTCGCCTTCCAATGAGGTGAACCGGAGTTGGATCTCGGTGTGGAGTGGTTGATGCGAATTACGCATCCGGCTAGCACCGATCACAGTGCTGACGTGAATTATCCTCAGTGGTAGACGGATTATGGGTTAAAGTCCCTTTGCCGTCAGGCTAACAGTGGGAGGTTCTCGTGGTCTTCCTTAATGCTGGTTAGCTCCATCAAAAAGTCCTCCAAAAAGGCAAATTTCTCCCAATACTCGATCCAGGAGTTCTCTTCTCTTTTGGATTGGGCTCAAAATTGCAAGGCTACGGAGTTGAACATTAGTAGTCGTAAACCCATAAAATTGAGTAGGCTGTTCAAAGACAGTTATAAAATAAAATAAAATGTTCTAGTTTTATGTGCAACAAATAAAATTCCTGTATGTTTTATTATTAATAATCATTCACCTGCACCACCTTATCCAAAACGGTAGTTCAATTTAATTCATCTGGAATGAGATATTTTTCATAAATTTAGCATGCAACTTTAAGTAATATTTTTGTCATCAGTTTATATTTAACTTACAAAACTATCTTCATAGTAGATAACACGTGTAGTAATTTTTTTTAAAAAAATGAAAAAAAAAGTATAGTTATCAACTGTCGTATTACAAATTGTAAGTTAACTTACCCTCGATTTGTTCACAAACTGACTCCATTTTTTAACACGGTGATTCGCTGATTTACTGATTCTTCCTTTTCACTTTCACACCGATTATATAATTTTGCAACACTGTGTTTCACTAGTTAATCGTTTCCAGTATTCAACAATATGCTATATCAGTAATATCCTCGATTCATAAATACTACACGAATTCCTTCATTTGTGGATTCACTTATTTTCTTCATTTATTCATGTCAAGAATCAATTATTCCAAAAATCATCTGATGTACTATATCAAGAATTATTAATGGTAGCGATCGCCACCGAAACACGCTATACCGAAAGAAAATTAAATAAAAGCTGAAATTTATATATTTTTCTTGCACTTACATAGCTTTGAAAATCTATAGAAATCAAAAACTGTAACAAAAAAGTCTTCGTTCTTATCCCTATATACTTTAATTATTTTTTCAATCATCACAGTAAATTCTTTCTCACTGTTATGTTCAATATATTTAGAGGTTGAAAGTAACGAAACTACTAAGTATCGCTACCTGTTTTTCGTAGTTTGTATTGCAGTTTGCAGTGTGTTACTTTTATATATATATATATATATANTATATATATATAAAACATTTAAAGTTAATGCAGTAAGTAGTACGATACAAAAACAAAAGAAAAAAAAACAATAATTTCTAGCGATTTCTGATAAGCGCATGTAAAGTTAGTTTAGTAAAGAAACAAGAATCAATCGTAACTAATTTTTCGAATCTGAGTATCCTTCTGAGTATCAATTTTAACCACTTGGATTAGTCTGAGTAGGAACCGAGGGTGTGCGGTATTGGTCCTCGTTAAACTGTTCTATCGTAAAGTGCTCGACTTCGCGTGCAAGTCGTCGGGCTAACGAAGCGGGGATGCCATCCCCTCTGAAGAGGATCAAAATTGTGATGGCGTGTCTTCGGATCATCCTCAGGGATGTTTCCCAAACCGTCGCCAATTGCCCACTGTGAAGCTCTAGTGCGACGTAAATAAACTACAACTACTACAACTGAGTATTTTTGCAGGTCTGTCAGTGGACGCAATGAGAATGGCGCTATGGCCGAGGGTTACTAAGAATTACGTATTAGCAATTCTTAGAACCTAGTACCGAATTGTTCTCATAATTATAGCTTATTTATCACTATGGCCACAACTTCAAATGCGGGACCGGGATAACCTGGTTGGTAGGGCACTGGGCCCATGTCTAACGGGTGGTGGGTTCGATCCCAGCCAGCCAAAGACTCCCCGTGTAGTAAATGGTGACTGATGAACGTTAAATTTGTCGAGTCGCAAAGTCCTCCATGTTCCCATAACAAATCAATATTTCTAGGGGTACTAATCCAGGAGTTTCCTTGTCTTCTGGATTAGTTCAAAATTACAAGACTACGTAGTTGAACATTGGTGGTCGTAAACTCAAAATTGGGTCGGCTGCTTATCGGTGGTTATAAAACTTCAAATGCGAGCTGTGTTAAGCCACGGGAAAGAGCACACGCCTCTCTAATGAGGTGACTCAGATTACGAATTCCGCACCTGGTTCACACCGACCGCAATCCTGACGTAAAATATCCTCAGTGGTCTAATCAATGTAGTCAAGCAGTGCCTACATTTCGAACACAGTTGTAGTTAACTACGGTCATTTGCAATAAAGTAGTTGTAGTTTACAACAACAACAGCAACAAATGTATATTTTTCTGAGCACTGCATGCATCCCGTTATCCCCTACATGTATTCTGTGATATTACAACATATTATTTTCTAACTACTATAGTTTGTCTAAAGTAAGAACTCCCCTAGCCATTCGTCCGAACCCGTGGCGGTGACTATGGTGACGAGGTATAGCTATTTTAAGTAGGGGTGTGGCGTCATTGTTTAGGACAGGTTTTGTCTCGGGTCAGCGTGAGAATGATAAACTTTATCTTCGATCTATTGTGTAAACCTTAGAGTGAAGAGAAGATACCCTCTCTGAAATGAGCTATCCTTGTTTCCATAGCAGCAGACGGCCTCAGACTTTGTGGATAGGAGAGTTCTTACCGTAGACAAACTATAACTAACCAACTAACTTTCAACAGATTGATATCCAAAACAAGCAAGCTGTTGGGGTCTACTTTCAATACAAGGGATCTAAGCACTATGTCAAAGCAAGAAAAGAAATCATAGTATCAGCTGGAGCATATAATACACCGAAATTACTCATGTTATCTGGAATAGGTCCCAAGACTGAACTGGATAGATTTAATGCAAGTATTTCCCTAGAAAAATTATTGCTCATCGTGAAAAATCTTTATCATCTTTAATTAATTTTTTAATTTATTTCAAATGCTATTGATTTTCTTACATTTTAATTTGATTAGCGATTACATTTACGTGTATAATTTGAGTTTACTTTAAATCCAAATGATTTCACTAAAAATTAGTTTGAATTAAGAGTACGTTTTTTTGTTAATTTAGCCATATTCTTTAATATACAGGGTCTTTATAATTAAAGTTCCACTTTGAAATGACTATAAAAATAAAACTACCCGACGAAATGTCATCAAACTTGGTATATGTCTATAAGAGGTCGTGGGATTTTAGTTCCCGCAAAAAAAAAAAAAAAAAAAAAAAAAAAAAAAGAAGTTCAAAAATTCACCACCAGCGGAGTATGGCGCTATATGCAATAGTGCTAAACAAATGTGAAATATGCAAATTTGTCTTACACGTCATGTGACTTTGCAGTTATAAAAGTGAGGCGCCTTGTCTGAGCTGTCAGTGTTCTGAGTCGACAATGTCTGTTACCATGCAAGACCGTGCTCTGCTCGTGAAATGTTACTATGAATGCGACAGCAATGAACGGAGGGCTTTACAAAATTTCCGTACTATAAGAGGAAAACGCCGAGGTCCAATGACACCGCAAGGTTTACGAAAAATGATGGCAAAATTTCAAGCCACAGGTTTGTTATCTGTTGCACCTGGGCGTGGACAAAAATCTGTGTCTGTGGAAACCAAGGAGGCTGTTGCATTAGCAGTAGAGGAAGCAGCAATGGATACCCGACAGGGGACGTGCAGCGTAAGTGCTGTTGCACGTCGACTCGACTTACCATTGAGTACGGTGTACAAAATCGTTCGGAAAGTGTTGCAGTACTACCCTTACAAAATCAAACTTGTTCAACAACTTCAACCTAGAGATCCGGCTTTAAGAGAAAAATTTGCTTTGAGTTTTCTGGCACGGATGGAGGTGAACATCAATTGGCCATGGAACATTATGTGGACAGATGAGGCACATTTTTACTTAAATGGGGATGTCAACACCCATAACTGCAGGATTTGAGCCAAAGAAATCCCTCATGTTATCCACGAAGTTCCATTACATTCGCCTAAAGTCACCGTTTGGTGCGGTATGACAGCAAATTTCATAATTGGACCTTTTTTCTTTGAAGAGCCATCGGCAGCTGGACCCGTGACATGCACCGTGACTGCTGCTCGCTTAGAATCGATGCTCAGATGTTTCGTGATACCTGAACTTCAGCAACGGGGCATTTTAGCCACCACGATCTTTATGCAGTACGGGGCTTCACCTCACATTGGTAGGTGTGTCAAACAGTTACTGCAGCAACATTTCACGAATGATCGTATTGTAGCCCGAAACTTCCCTATTTCTTGGCCACCCCGATCACCAGACCTCAACCCCTGTGACTTCTGGTTGTGGGGTTATCTCAAAGCCATTGTTTATGGTGATAACATAACCAATTTAGTGGAATTGAAGAATGTGATACAAAGACATGTCCGTAACATTTCTCCAGATATGCTAAGAAGTGCTGTTGAGAATGCAATATTGCGATTTAATTTGCTTTCAGAAAATGGCGGATGCCACATTGAGCATGCTTTGTAGCAACAATAAAAGTGTTTGCAACTGATGTTTCTTCAGTTATTTCGTTTAACCTTATTGCATACAGCGCCATTCACCACTGGTGGTAAAGATTTGAACTTTTTTTTTTTTTTTTTTGCGGGAACTAAAATCCCATAACCTCTTATAGACATTTCCAAGTTTGATGACATTTGGTCGGGTAGTTTTATTTTTACAGCCATTTCAAAGTGGAACTTTAATTATAAAGACCCTGTATTCAAAATGTTGAATGAAAGTTAAATAAAAAAAAATCTAACTTTAAGAGAAAAAGGAGCAAACAGATTCTGTTCTATTAACTTAAAAAAAAAAGATTTTTTTTTTAAATGTAAAATAAATTTCCACTTTAAATGCTTTATTTTAATTATTATTATTGTAAATAGTGTTAAACTAATTTAATATTCGATTAAACATGGAAGTCAATTTTTTTTAAAAACTATTTTATATCAGTTATTACAAAAGGCGTCTGAAGCTTCTAACCATTTGAACAGCTGCAACATTATATTTACACAATATATTTAAAATATAATGTAAAATTTATATTTAAAATGGTATCTATGTGTATTAAAATGGCTACACTACAAGGTGAAACAGTTAACTGTACCACCTAGTGAAAGAATCCACCTAGTTTCACAAGGTGGATTCTCTGATTCTAAGACATTACGAGAAATGGGAAAAAAAGTTAATTAAAAAGTTGTAGATCGACAGGGCCTGATTATCGCCTAGGCCCAATAGGCATGGGCCTAGGTCTCACAGTTTCTGAGGGGCCTCAAAAATTAGTAAAAAGTCTAATGAGCTAGCTTTGTGTTGGTTTAAGTATTAAATAAAAAAAATTAATTCAGCTAATCAGTGACTTTTAGCAAAAATCACTGATTTCAATTGTTTGCGGTCACCAAACTATTTATATTTTGGCATAACATTGCTTTGTTGTTTTATATTTTGCTTTAATTTATAGATACGTAAACTTTATCTTAGAAAAATAATCTTCAATTGTCTGCTTTCTTTGAATGTTTCTCTTGAATCATGCAGTTCACTAGATTCCTTTTCATTGTTAGGACTACTCTTCAGTAATTTAATTTCAAAATATTTTGTAAGGAGCCTGGAAAATTTGGTGGGCCTTGGGCCTGAATTTGTCTTGATCCGTCCTGTAGATCGATTAGTAAAAACAGACACCATGTGGACATTTTGTTTGGCATTTCCTGCACTGTCGACGTGACGAAACTATCTTAGGAAGAAAAACGAGAACTATTTATACCGAGTTATTTTAATTCTTCATGTAAAAGCTTAAGAAAACTCAGAGCATCCATACTTTTCAGCTACTCTTTTTATAACTGATATCTGTTTTCTACCCTAGATTCCCCTTATATCGAATCTTCCAGTAGGTCATAATCTGCAAGACCATATAGGAGGATTTATGCTCTTTGAGTTAAACAATGAAATTCCAACTTTGTTGTCTCAGATTATAAATAAAGATAGCATAGAACAATATGTCATTTACAGAACAGGTAACAAAACATTTCAGAAAATAAACTACGTGCATATGAATACTGAAAAAATATATTGATTAGACTGATTTAAAACACACATTTTGCTTCTTTTTTTCGTTTGTTAATTACAGGTATATGGAGCTCTTTTCATGCATTAGAACTCCTTGCTTTTCTTCACTCCAATAAAAACGCGGAAGCCAATGATTATGTTAACCAAGAGATATACTTCGGAAATGTGCCAGGTATATTTGCACTTCAACGGGGTGCCACACAAGAGGTATTTTAACATTTCATGCATACAAATATAAGTACATACAAAATGAGGGGTCATTCACAAATTTAAAAAAAAAAAACATGGTCATCATGTATTAACACTAAGTATAAGTGAATAATTTTTTTTCCTTATAAAATCAATCACAAATTTGCTTATTCAGTGATTATAAACTGCTTATGCTTATTCTCACTTCTTTCGTGTTTCATACACTCGCTCAGTTATTTATTTATTTATTTATTCTTTCGCTCTATCATGAGTTATTTCATGATATATTTTAGTAAACCTAGACTAAATATATCACTGAAACTTGTCATAAAAATCACATCGTCATAAAAATAATTTTAAAAAAAATAATAACTTTCCAAAAAATGATTCGGTACAGAAATTCGCATAACCCAATAATAAAATAGCAATAGTGAGAATTTTGCTCGGGAAAAAATTGTTACTGAGGTATAAAACTTGAGAATTATATTTGGCAAGAACAATAATTACTATGATCTGCGTCCGTTCCATATTATGTTTACTTAATAATTTACTTTTCCCATAAGGAAGTATTAAATATGAATCCATGCTAAAGATAAAATATGATTTTAAAAAAGATAATCACAGAAACACGAGAAAATATCCCAAAATATTACAAACAGTCGTCATAGTAACGTAAAATATCACTTGATTTACTCTAATACATAAAGGTCGTTTTCAGTTTGCTTATTCAGAGAAAGTACGTTATTCTGCCTGATTTCTTAATTTAAATTATCGTCTGCGCTAGTTAATTAGTTTATTTCAGGTTTGACCTCAGAACCATTAAGATTGAGACGGAATATTTGAAAATTGGACCATTTAAATCATAGAATTTTAAGATGTTTGCTTTTGTACTACATTGTACTTATTGCATACGGTATAAAAAATTAAATTGTATTATAATATCTAATAATAAAAGAAATTTTATTTTATTGAATTCTTACATGTGTATTACAATTTCGATTCTTTATTTGATATCTTGTAGGCTTTCTTCTCAGTATTCGCTCCTTATTTGAATAAAACTCTTATGCTGTGCATGCCTCAACTTGTTGACCCAAAAAGTAGGGGATATGTTCGTTTAGTCAGTACAAATCCAGCTGATCTTCCTGAAATAAATCCCAACTATTTTGAAAATCCAGAAGATTCTAAAGTAGTCGTTGAAGGTAATTAAAAAGAAAACTTTCTTAACAGTCAAATAGGTATCGATATTGCATATTGAGCTAATATATTTCTCTTTAAATTATATAGTTAAATTTCAAAAACAATTTTCTTGGTTTACAAATAAATGCAGATCAAGCATATTTTCAATCTGAGGAACTTATACATGATATTACAGTTAGTTTAGAAAATTATAGTATTTCGGACAAAGCCTACGATCATTGTGTACAATATCAAGGTTTTGCCTACATTTTTGAGTTTAAACTAAAGGATAGCAATTTATACAATGCCTATTGTTTTTAGGCAAAGTATTAAATATGAATGTGAGGCGAAGCGTGAAATATGAAGTCCTTATATTCTCAATATGAAGAGCTTATGCATTTTACCTCTGATGTAGTTGATACCAGGATTGTCAACAATATATAAGCATTGTATACGATTCTCATTGCAAAGGGTAGGTATACAGCCTGACGTTTTTAGGCAAAATATGAAAATTTAAAATCGCTGTGATAGGAGCAGGGCAATGTTTTTTTTCTCCACTTTGTTTTCAAAAATTATTATTCAGTCGACTTAGAGAAATATAAAATTTTTATTCAATAAATCTAAATTTACGAAAGAAAAATTCTCCTTTAACCGACTTATTCGTAGATTATTGATAATATGCGATTAAGATGTGAATACAATGTAGGAAATATAAGCAATGGTCCTTTCATGTTTGCCAGGTTATTATGCAGACGAAAGCAGTTCTTGTTAATAATGCTAAAAATTTATGGCTTTCTAATATATGGAAACAAAATAAAATCTGAGCTTACTTGTTGCATCAAGAAATTACTTTTAATTAATACTAATCATATTAATTAAAAGTATGAAGCACTCATATTTCATACTTTGCAAATTTATCCTTCATGCAATGTCTCAGTAATGTGAGAATTGATTATTATAAGAGAAACGTATAACAAAAAATCAGTTAATCTAAAAGTGTTTAAAGAACATATTTTTAAAAGAAAGAGTATATATATATAACTTATTTTATGGGTTCTATGTTCTTGAAGCTTATGCACAGTAAATAATTAGAATATTGTTATATACATTATTATTATACATATGAATAATGATGTTTCCTTTAGGTTTCCGTACTTGTATGAAAATAACGAAAAATGCCGCCTTTGCAAAACTTCAACCAAAATTGGTGAATCCCAATTACCCATCGTGTCAGAAATATTCACATGACACGGATAAGTATTATGACTGCGCTGCCAGAGCATTTCCTATTGCATCGAGTCATCACGTTGGAACAGCAAAAATGGGGGACCCAAATGACGAGTCTACAGTTCTTGATTATAAACTGAGGTAAAAAATTTTTTTAAACAACCTCTAAACTCTATATTGTTTAAAAGTTTAATCTATTTTCTACGCCTTATAATTTTTTTAAAAATAGTTTTATTTATTAGGATTTACGTGTATTTTTATATGTATGTATATATATATATATATATATATATATATGTGTGTGTGTGTGTGTGNACTTTTATTTTAAAAAATATAATTTTTAAAAACAAAATTTAAAGAAGCATGTCTCTAACTTCTTGATTGTTGAAAACATAATACTGTTAGTTCCCCTTTCAGTTTCAAACAAAGTAAGTACATGATCTTGTAATCTTTTTTCCCCCCAAGAAATTGCTGAAAAGGTTACAAGCGCACCACCCAAATGTGAGGAAGAGCGTCATGCTCTTCCTCGTTATATATTTTATTCTATAAGTTTCATCGGCAATAAACATTTGGTGTAAAAGCGGCGATAATCGCGCCAAGCTAGTTTACGGGCTAAGCAGTAGAATCATATGAGGCTTTGAGTCGAAGGGGAGGGAAAATGAAAACCTGGACCCGAGGATGAAACAACTACGACACCGAGCAGACTACTTCGCAAAAAAGGGGGCCTTAATTATTCAAACTTCTGCGCACATCATGCCCTTCTGTTCTATCAAGCAGCTTATTAAGAGGACCTTTAAGACCTGTGCTCATGAAGAACTTATCGACCGTACTTCTACTAAGTCTTGGAGAACTACCATCCTAAATTTGCGAAATGGCTCTTCCTGAAAAGTGCAACTAAAATGGCGTAGATTGATTTTTTTATTTATACATATATATTTATTATCCTAGTGTATAGGTACAACTTGCAACTCTCTTAGCAACTATGCGGATAACATTTCTCGCGTGATTTTCTGTTCTGTTTGCATGCCTGCTTTGCTCTTTTCCATTTTGGTATTGGCAATCACAACGCTCGAATACGCCATCTGGGGAGAGACCAGTTTCATGCCTTTGGCCCTTCTCCCTTTCCTCCTCTTTTTAGTTGTATAGGAATGTTCTACGATATTTTCCCTTTTCTTAATATTTTTTCTTTTTATTTAAAAAAATATTTTTAAAATTTCGGGGATACTTTTCTTTTGAACTATGTTTAATGTAGTTTTCAGTTCCATATAGTTTTCCAACTTAAAAGATTTTAATCTATATGAAAATCAAGAGAGAAACCAACGTGCTCCCTTCCTCTATGTCTCTCTACACGCTAATGGGGAAAGCATGTGAAGTGTTGCCATAGCTAGAGAGTTCTGCTCTACGCCATCTGTAGCCCATTTCGATTGCTAATATTGTTAGTTTTAAGTATTGGCGAGTTTTAGTTTTAAGTACTGATGAGCAACTAAAACGAAAAGAACCTTTGCTTATAACCATAGGTTTTTTTTTTCCTTCGTGAATTCAATAGGAGCAGTTTTTTAAAATAGAAGCTGTTTTTTGAAATAGGATCAGTTAATAAAATAGAGCCTGTTGCATAAAATTAGAAACATCTTTCTTTACTATAGAACAATGATTTAAAACTGATAAGGGGCCGTCCACGAATGCTGTCACGGCAAGTGGACAATCGTGAAATACACTAAAGAATGGGATGGAGTATCAAAACTGTTTCGTTTCCAATACAAATGTGTGCCTCATATTAAAGAGATCTTCGATGCCAAGGAGGATCATTCGGTTCGATTGCGGACTGAGAATGTTCGATTCGAAACCTCTTCGCATACTTCAGAGCCGTTTTTTGTTTATATTCAAAGTAAAAATGAGGCTAAATATTTATGTTTTTGGCTTTAAGCTCGGTTAAATAACTACGTCACAACACAAAAACTTAAATAGATGTCCATTGTGAGATGGATGTTACATCACGATTTGTTAAAATAAAAACATAGAACAAATATTTCTAAACAATTTGTTCTTATATTTTTTCTTCAGCGAAAGTTCATATCTGATCATTATTAATATGCTTACATAATTAAAACAAATGGTTAAAGTTCAAAAAAAAAAAAAATTGAAGTATAATTTATAATGTGTTTTGTTTTTGACCTTTTATGGAGAACGGGGTCGAAAATTTAAAAAAAAAAAAAAAAAGTGACATCATTTAAGACGGTACATAAAACTCTTTTAAGAACTTATGTCATACTATATGTAATGTATAGTTGTTATTTGTTCAAATCTTTTATTATCTAGCATTCTGCATGCCCATTCGTTGACTTTTATTTTTCAGAGTGAAAACTGTAAAAGGGCTGAGAGTTGTTGATGCTTCAGTAATGCCTACGATACCCTGGGGTAACACGAATATTCCCACGATAATGATTGCAGAGAAAGCATCGGATATGATAAGGAAAACTATAAAATGCAGTGCATGAAAAGGAAGATTTAAAAAACTGTATCATGTGATCTCGATTAGCACATTTCGTTAGTCAGATGCAGGGCTAAAGAGAATACAAGGGCTAGTTCACTCCGCTCNCGCTCCGTTCTTGAAGTAAAAGTGCGAGCTTTGCGCCAAAGTGACGTCGCTAGAGTGACGTCGGAGGATCGGCGCGGCGAGAGATACTTCAAAGGAGTGAACCAGCCCTTCTACTCTCTTTAGCCCTGAGTCAGATGTCTCTGCTTGTGTCTTCAATTTTACGAGTGCTATTATGACCGTTAATAAGAGGGATTATTTAAACTGAATTTGAAGAAACATCCACATTCGAAATTTATTGAGAAGCCAGATATTTAATGTAGATTTTATATTGTATTAGATTGGCAGATTTCATATTGTTACATGCCTCTATGGTTTGACTAAAGTAAGAACTCCCCTAGCCATTTGTCTGGACCCGTGGCGGTAACTATTTCAAGTAGGGGTGTGAGGTCATTGTTTAGGACAGGTTTTGGCTCGGGTCAGTGAAAGAAAGGGAGTCTTTTTCTTTGGTGAGTTGTGTTAGCCCAGGAGTGAAGAAAAGCTACCCTGTCTGAAATGCACTATTCTCATTTCCATAGCAACAGACGGCCTCAGACTTTGTGGCGAGGGAAGTTCTTACCGTAGACAAACTATACAAAAAAATATTAAGCAAATTTTTTATCGGGTATTTAACGTATTGAGCTAAATTTAAAATTTCGTAGGTTAAAAAAAAATTGAATCAAACACCACAAAGCCCAACATATTGAGAGCCCAACTCAAAAATCTTAAAAATTTCTTGAATACGATCATTAATGACGCATTTCAAAAAATTAATGTCTTCATAAATTTAAATCATTGATATTTTCAAAACATGAAATTCTAAATAAATTATATGCAGCTTAATTTAAATGAATAATTATGTATAAGTTTATTTTTTTTATCTCTAATCACATTTATTATTTTACCAGAAAAAAATATTTGCTAATAAGAGATGCCAAGTATAAATTTTAGTTCTAATATTTTTAAATAAAATATACAAGAATTTTTAAACATAAATGTGATTGATAGTTTCTTGAAACTTCTGGAACTTGGATTTCCGGAAAGTTCCGGATCGCAATTAGCGAAAATCCAGAATTTTTTTTCCTGAACACAAAACTAATGAGTAAAATTAACATTAATTGAATGGTATTAAATAGATTGTCTTAAAAATTAAACTTTTTCTTCTTAAATATTATTTATTATTCTTTTGTTTCATTTACTAGCTAAATACTACCAATATTTGATTAGTTGCATTGTATAGGAAAAGAATAGATAATCAATAAGTCTGTATTAATTAACACTATGAAATCATGTGAAAAAATAAAAGTTAAATGCAAACATTTTTCAGAAAGAAAATTGTGGTACTAATTTACTTTATAAGACACGTATTTAAAAGTTCATCCCATCAAAATAAAGATACACTTTATACAGCATCATTTGGTAAGATACTACTGCTCAAGGTAATCAAAAAATTGACCGCAATCAAGAAATTTTTGACAGTACTAATCAGTTACGATAGGTAATTAAATATTGGTACATTAAACAACTATTAACTAACTTGCAATTAACTCTTCTGATTAAATATAGAGCTATGAGCTATCAAACATCACTATAATTTTTGAAATAATTTTAAAAAAAGATTGTCTAAAGATTGAATTTGTGACAATGCTGTACATTAAATCAATTAGAAAAATTCATTTTTCAAAAATTCTTAAACATATTTTAGGATAGGGGGCTAAAATTACCCCTTGGACCCACTATCTAAATTTCATGACACAAACAGTTCTAAAGTTATAAGAGAGAGACACACACAGAGAGATAAATTTGGAATTTTCCTAATATATATTGAACATTAACTCAATCATTTAACTTTAGTCAATTAAGATTTTTTTTTTCATAGCAATATTTTTAGCAATTCTGGCTTCCAAAACATAATCACTCTTCATTTAAAAAAAATATAAATAATTTAAATGGAGATGATCTATTTAAGGTTTTGGTGAATACTCGTTGAATTAGCAAGAAATTCGTTGCAGCGCAATCCATCCAATACTGTTCCTGAGACTTTCAATAAAACTTTTCATGTAATTCCTTATTAATGAAAAGTGTTTTCATGCTTTAATGAAAATATTCAAATATAAATGCAAACTACAGTACATTTTTTTTGTAAAAATTTTATTACCTTTTTTTAGTGAAAATGATTGTGTTTAAAAATTTAAATCACATATTTTGTGCCAAGCTGAATATTAAATAAACATTGTTTTGAATAATTGCAGTGAAATAGTGATTATAAGAATATATTAATTTTCTATCACATTTTATACTTTACAATAAAAAAGATTGCAAATCTAAGAATTTAAAATATTCAAACAAATTTGTGTTACAAAATTATATATCATCTCTTACATCAAGATGCAATATATGTGCAATATCAAGTTTTGTAATGTCAAAAGATATTAATGTGTTGGATTACAAAACAGAAAATTGGAAGTTGCATTAATAAATATATTTGCACTTTGTTTCAGCTTTATAAAGCGTACAACGTAAAGATATGAACCAAATACATATTACAAATTATGAAAAGTTACATAGTAATAATTAACACATACACACCAGTACAAAATCATTTCAAAAGCGCATCACTGGGAAGTTATATACGGATGTATGAGTAAAACACATGTCTGATGCAATATTTAGTTTAATAACTAAGTGAAGTAATTTGCACTTTCAATACCTAGAAACGTTTTGATAAAGATATGTGCATACATAAATGAGATTTACAAAAGATCTCGCATTCTTCATACAGTTAGAAACTAAAGCTATCCTAAATATGATTTTAAAACATATATAAAACTGAGATATCATTTAAAATGTGAATAATTAATTTTTACTTTATTAATTGAGGGACTTAATCATCGAGTTATCCTTAATTCAATATACATTCAAATCTAGAACATAAAAAGGTTTTCCCAATTTTTAATTCTCATATGTTACATATTTTTTTTTCACGTATATCTGTTAAGGCTGTTTTTCAAGGCTCTGCTGTCACATGAAATGCTAATTTCATAACTGCTGTGAGTTTGCAACAGTTAATGATGACTATTAGGTTAAGCTTAGCCTATATTATGCCTGTGCTTACTCTGAAAATGGGATTTCTGGAGAAAAGCCAGTTTACATGATGTATATAATGAAAAACGTTTGTGGTCTAATTTCTTAATATTTTAAAACTTACTCCAATGCTGCATTACCTGGGTATTTTAAGGCAATTAATTTTATTCGAACTTTACTCTTTTAAAATCTATAGAGGAAAAACCATTACATTATTATAAAAATAGGAACTCACAAGAAAGTGGTAGAGGAAAAAAAAAAGGTTATTTCCCCTAGAGAAAAGGAGGCTAAGGCTCCATAATTTTAGGCCAATGGCATGACAGTGGTAATGTAGTTAATATAATGTATTGGCCACTTTACTTTCCAGGATGAGTTGAAAGTGCCATCACTATACGTTTACGATTTGTTAGTTTGGTATTCAGTCTCATTGCTTTGCTTTTGCGAAATAATAATTTTATAAAATTATTACTTTTGCATTATTACTTCTGTTAACAATTCAAGCAAATAGAATTAAATGGAAAAAAAACAGAAATTTAAAAATCAATGCTAGACAGTTTAAAATACTTAAACACACACTAATTCAAATTCTTTCTTTATGATCAACAAAAAAGAAATTATCATTAAAATAATTTTTTGTACATGTATTGAAAGTGCAAATTTATATCTTTATAAACACATTATATAGCTAATAATATACCCAGATGAACTTTCACCAAAATAGATATAAAAAATAAAAAAAGTTTCTCTCTCTATCTATTAATAAACAATTGATGACAAATATATACAATGCAATATGTGCATAAGAAATATGATTAAACTACAGATGATAATACAAACGATATGCTTTGCATGCAGGTACGATATTAATGAATATATTTAGCAAGCGTGATAACGATGCTTGCATGCTACAGAATATAAGATATACAAAAATAAAATTATACAAAAATATTAAATTTTTCAAAATGAGCATATATTTTGAAGAGTAAAGAATTTTTTTTTTTTAGATAATATTAGACAACTTTGCACACTAAAACAAAATTTTAAAATGCAAAAGTATACGATAGATATAAATGCTAGTAGAAGTTTGACATTTTATATACAAAAACTACAAAAGCATTTTTGATGATATTTACAAAATATTACAAAACCAAAACATTGCAACTACAAATAATAGAGTTTTAGAAAATCATAGAGAATTACTTATGAGTGAAATTGATGCACATATATTTCTTAAGAGTTTTCTAATGGACAATTTTAAAAATTTATTTAATTCAATTGACCACGAAATTCAAATTAAAATGAAATTTTATCATAAAAGTTACAGTTAAGAACTTTTTAGGTTTTTTAGTAGGCCAAAGAAAAAATCTGAACACTTTTTGGGACAGTTCACATGTACCATACTACCTTTAAAAAGGCAAAGAGTTAACTAAAGAACATTTTTTCTGCTTTATAGTAATGAAAGCAAATTTTAAATTCAAATGAATAACAAAAGATACAATTACAGTACAGAACCTGTTATCCGGAAATCGGAAAACCAAAAAACCGGAACAAAATTCGATAAATTTTCCTGCCATTTAAAAAAAAAAAATTTTTTCCCTCATAAGATTTTAGGATTTTTCTTTCTATTTTGAAAGATAGATGTTTACCTTACCATCATTTTGGAAATAATCATTAGTGTATTACTTCATTGTTTTTTCTTCTTTTTAAGATTATTTCTAAATATTTTTTTTTAGTTGGGTTTAACAATAAAAAAAACGGCGTTTTGTAGTGATTCAGAAAACCGGAAAAATCAGTTATCCGGAATAGCGGTGGTCCCAATCGTTCCGGATAATCGGTTCCCTACTGTACTTCTAATTGCTTAATACCTTGTTTAGAACAGAAAGTTTCAACAGTTTCCAGAATAACTCTATCAATACTTAATGCAATAGTTTCAAATCAATACATGTAAAACAGAATTAATTAGTCAATACTACCTCATGCAAATATGTAATTAAAATTTTCAACTTTGAGTTCAAGATTTTCGTAATCAAATAATTTTGAAGAAGGGTTTCAGTTGTGTTGAAAAAGACACAACAAATACAAAAAATAAATAACTGAAACAAAAGTAACTTTATGGGGCAATACCTCAATTAAAAATTCTATGATATTATTGTAGTGCATGAAATAATTTAAACAATATTGATTTCTAATTAAAATTACTCAAATTATGCTAATACAATTTGACTGAGTGACACCATTATTAAATGTAGATTCTTATTTAGATAGTAATTAAAAAAGCATAATGTTAAGACAGTATTTTTTATTTAGCATAAAGTAGGTAAAACAAAAATTAGAAAGAAATTAATAGCCCCCCCCCAAAAAAAAACAGTTGTAAATCCTAAATGATAGCTTAAAAATATTATTGTAATAATAACATACAAGACGAATATTTATACAAAAGTTATATATAATCGCAAAAGTTTTAATTAAATAAATGCAAACAATTTTAAATAATATTATCAAAAGAGGATAAAATATTTGTTGATAACTAACATAATCTACAATATCATTGATAAATAATAAAAAAAAAAAACTTAGCTTGAACAGTCTAATTACATATAAACAAATTTATATGAGAAGATATAAGAAAAAAATCACCAGAAAGGCTATGTGAAAACAACTCACACACAAATCCACAATAAATACAACACATATTTTTGTAATTTTTTTATAATTTTCAACAATAAACACTTAAATAACAAAGAACAATGAAATATAAATCACACTTTTATGAACTCATAGAAAATAACAAATAAGTCTCAAAATTATTTTTAAAAATTTTTTTAAAAAACTCTTTCAGAGAATTCGATTCTGAGACTATAATTTATTAGTATGTTATAAAAATAATCTCGACTAGCTACTTAGATACCTAGAATTTTCATCGCATGGCCGAATTCACAATTTTGTGAAAAAAATATTAATGTTTCATTTCATTATATTAAGTTAAGAGGTAGACTTAAGATATTTTTATGGGGAATAAAGTAAACTCACTATTTTTATACTTAACGCAGGGAAGAAAACAGACTAAGTTTTATCGCATCAATAAAAATTAGATTCAACTTACATTTGCAAAAGGAATGAACTAGTGAGATACAGTTGTGAAGTATCCTATTTTAAAATAATTCTATTTTATAAAATTATTCTGTCAACATTGACAGAAGAGAGGATCATCAATGATTTTTTCCCCACACTCCCGTCAAATTTTAATAAAAAGAGGAATTATATATTTGTGTAGATATTTGTACTCAGATTTAATTTGGATACAAAATAGTCTAACTAGACAATAATTTTAGGCTCATAAATTTAAAATAATTCACACTAAAACCTTTTTACAAGTTATATTGAAAGGAAAAGATATTTTCAATCCCTAAATACAGTAAACATATTTTTTATAATAATAATAAAATAGTTTAACATTAAAAATTTGGAGGAGAAAAATTAAATTATTTAGTATAAGAATAAATTTAAAGATTGCAAATATTGCTACAGACATAAAACAATTAAAAAAAGAGAGACAATAAAAATGTAGTATAAACATTTTGATAACTAAAATGATTTCAAACACTTTCACTTATTAGGTAAGTAATTTAGTTTTGGATCAGTAACTAGAAACTATTACTAATCAGATTGATTTCTGTTAGTTTCTTCTCTATTCAAATATCTCTTTAAGATATGAATTTAAATGGAAATTTAGAATACAGAGAATCTATAATATTTACAATTATGATGAAATATGCTATTTTGTAACAAACACACATAAGTGAAAATCAAAAATTTTACACTACATACAACAATTACTGGTCTTGAGAACTACTGATACTTATTTAAAAGGGGTCAAAGTCAAATTTTAGTGTTCCCAAACCAGCAGATCACTATTAATTTTAAGCCCTGCATTTACATGCAAATAATATACTAAATTTAAAGGATCTCATATTTAGATCAATAAGTATACAAGGATATCATCATTTCCATCAAACAACTAAAAATATAATCATTAAGTAACTTGATTTTTCCTTAATTAAATATTTTCATAGAAATAAAATAAGGCAGCATTTAAAATATTAACTGAATTACTTGAATCAAAAAATTGAGTAATATTTATTTAACCTAATTACAAATAAAATAAAATGATTGGTAAAAGCATGACGGAGAAAAGTATGATAAAAATGCCTCATGATATTATTCCAGAATTAATTGCAATAAAAAAACTCACACTTTTCAGGTTCTGAATATTTACAATTAAAAATCAAAATTAATTTTGATGTTTTATATGTGCCATTTAAAGTGATTGAAAATATCTAGTTCATGTTCAGATTTTTTTTTCCCATTTGTATCTTTATAAATTCAAAGATCTCGGACGGATAGAGGACATCCACTGTCTTGCAACTTCAGTTAGCTCTACCTGATCATAGGTTCTCCCAAACGTCACACAGTTCCATTTGGAAAAGGTCTAAAAGAGAGGAGAGAGAAAAAAAGACAACTTATAATAAAAATTCGGAAAAAAAACTATCAAATAAATTATGAACAGTAAAATATTAATTTTAAAATCTTACCTCAGCGAAACTAAATTTTCTGGGAGTAAGATCTTCTTTTCTACGTTTTTTCTTAGGCTAAATAATACAAAATGAATATATAAAAATAATTTAAGTAATAATATTAAATAAAACAAACAATTTTCTTCTATCTAAATAGTTCAGAAATATTATTATTTTTTTGAAAGAGAAAAATCTTATTTAGAAAAGAATCTATTGTAATAAGAGCTTAACAAAATGTGACTAACATTTTATTTTTATTGCAATGATCTAGTTAATTGATGAATTAGTTAATTTATGCTAAACAGAATTTTAAATTTTATTGTATAGATTATGCAATATATTTAATGTGATGATGGAACTGGTCCTTTATTTACAACTTTGCCTTAATTTGTTTCTTTCATAAAACATTCTAAATATTTACTCTACTTGTGTAATGTACAAGAGTACCCCTTCTTAAAGAATTGATAACACCCGATTTTTTTTCCCATATAAAAAACTAAAACTAAATATATATATATTTTTTAACAGTTCTGGAATTGTTAAATCTGAAATCTTTGAATCATTCATCTCAAAAAAATATTACATTACATGCTTAATAATTATTACAATTAAATTTAAAGACAATATATTTTAGTAAATAACAATAAAACTTTAGAAAAAACTAACCTTATTTCTGATTGTGGGAGCAAGAAAGGCATTATTTAACTCTGCAGACAGGTTTGTATCCAACAAAGTTTCCTTCACAATAGATGGAGGAGAAAATGAAACTAAAGAGTCACCAAGCAAGGATTTACTCTAAAAAAATATATATATACATATATATTTCATACTAAGATAAACAGGAATTTAAAATACATTGATAGTGGATTTTGTAAATATATTTGAATTGATGACTCCGAAAACCAGTCAACGATTCAAAATTGAGAATCTCGTATTTTTAAATTTAGCTGACATAAATAGGATTAAAAAAAATTCATGTCCACCTACTTGGCATAGCATAATATTATGTGCAGTAATAAAAGCTCTGTATATATATCAAGCTGATACTTAGCTATTCAATTTTTTGTCTCTCATGTCAAAATTAGTTTTGTTGAAGATGACCAGTTTTCGAACACATTGATTAATTTATTTTAGGCTTTATGACAGTTTAACCCCTTTCTTCTCACTCTCGTGAAAATGATGGGGTGAGGTTTCGTCCTCTATTTCTCGCTCCTGTGAAATTTCCAGGCTGGAGTGTTCAGCAGTAATGCGCCAATAAGAATAAAACTAATTCATTTCTTTGCCCAGAAAACATTTTATTTCTCATTTTACACACCATATGGCAGTACCAGGATATTTTTAAGGTAATTGTAGATAGTTAGTTTATTTTAAACTAGATGTCAACGCTAATCAAATACATGTATTTGACAAAATAGGCACTTTTATGACCGTTTTCTTGAAAATCAACTGATTGTTAAGGGGTTAATAATAATAAAATAAAATAGCAAGTAAAAATTATTTTGGTGTAGCCTAATTGTTATCGTCTTACATACTGTTAAAAATATGTACAATAAACTATCATTGCCATAATAGTATAGTATAATACTAAATAATTGTTTAAAAAAAGGAAGAATTTTTTTTTTTTTTTAATTTGATAATTGGTTTAAAAACATCAAAATACAAATTTTTTCTTGTAACAATTTATAAGTTGTGAAGGATAAGTTAGAAATTTCAAACACAATTAAATTGAAAAGAAAAAAATTTAAAAATCTCTACCACATCTGACTTGTTTGCTTATGAAGTTATAGCAAAATTATGTAATCTGCTGTGATTTAAGACATTCAGCCTTCATCAAGACAAGAGTTTCTAGTGATTAAGACTATAAATTTCAAATTATATATATTTCTTTAAAAAATGTGAAACTTTACTGTCATGTCCATAAAGGAAGCAATTTTCCTTCATTTAAAATTTTTCAGTCAAATTGTTGATTTTTTTTTTCAGGGTTGGGTTTTTGCCGTCAAAAAGTGGTTTTTGACATGACAGTGGTAAAAACCGTGTTTTTACCGGTAAAAACTGTCAAAAACCTACTGTTTTCTTTCATTTATGGCATATAGCGGACAATATATTATTTTCACATAATTGCCTTTATAAATGAATGTTGTAAATGATTGCTATTGATTTTGCAACTATATACATGTATTCTTATAGAAGGATATACATTCATACAGAAATATTGTAATATACTTATTGAAAATAGTGATACTTACTTTTATCATTATAGCTTGATTTGCAAATGATTCAAAATTTTGCACTTCTTAATTGTTAGAAATAAACAAACAAACAAAAAAGCTTGGAACTATTAATAAATTCAAGAACTAAAAAGAATAATTTAAAATTTGGCATTTCTTAAATATTAGAAATAAGCTAAAATAAACTTTCAAAACTTGTAAGTACTAACAAACTCTAAGTCAAGAATTACTGCTATTTCGTCAAGTTAAAAGCTTTTATTCAGTTGAAAAAGCATATTAAGCAAAACTTAATTAAAAACAAAATTACATGTTCAGTAGTCGGGGTCACGGTACCGAAGCATACGATAGCAAGTGACTAATTTTGCGCATTTTTCATTGCCCAGTCGCTTTCTGAGTTTAGTATGGATGAGTCCAAAATTCGAGAAGATTCTGTCAATGGAAGCCTGTCATTGAGGATAATGATAACAAAAGGTTATTGCAATGTTGCAAGGAAACTCTAAAAGGATTTCCCAGGCTTTTTCATGTCTCATTTCTGTGTAAAATATTGAAAACAAAAATGATAAGAAAAGTTTATTTTATGAGGCTTTCTTTTTATGTGTACATGTGTTTCTCAAAGCAAGATTTTATGAATGAAAGTAATCAATCTTGACATTCTTCAGTAGTTTAATATGCCAAACAAAGTGATGCTTGGAAATGTTGAAAATTTTGTTTATCTTAATATTTTACTTCAAATAGTATGTTTTGATATAAACATGTTAGGAAAATGCAAGAATCTGTTCTTAAATATCTTTTAACAACTTTTTTTCTAATTTTATTGCCCAAAAAATATTTAATTTTAAATTATAAGCAGTTAAACTCAAATAAAAATATAATTTTACCAAAACTATATGGGTTTTTGACAGTTTTTGACGTTTTTGACAGAGGGGTTTTTGACATGACGGTAAAAACCATGGTAATAACCGGTAAAAACCGCCATGTGTCAAAAACTTGCCAACCCTGTTTTTGATTGATCGGTTTTGTATTTTGAATCTAAAAATATTCAAAATTATTATAGAAAATGCTGTAAATGGACTAACTTTATAAGATAGCACTTCTTGATCCTTAGAGCCTACAATTTCTAGCTATTTCACTAGGCTGCTTCACAAACTTTTATTTTTTACTAACATGTTTTTACATAGACTATTATAAAATAATTGGCCCCTGGATTAACAACTAACGTAAACAATGTGCTGCTTTGTTTTTTTCCCACTCTTTGTATAGTATTTTGGACATTGTTTTTGTCATAAAACAGCATATTTTATTATTGTGAACATTACACAATCTTTGTATTTCAGTAAATAAGTATATGACCCCTAGTTCAACCTTATAAAATTTCATAAGATTTCAGCTCCTACATTTATACATATTATTCAAGACTCATAAAAATTCAGAAACTAAATATTTGATTGAGTAGAAAAGATACTACCATCACTTTTTTAAAATTTGTGTGGTTGGTCCTTTAGTATAACATATAAATTGTTCGTAATTTAAGAACTGTTAAGTTTATGATGGAAATAAGACGGAAAAGCGGGATTCCGCAAAAAAGTGGTATGTCAGTCGTTTTTTCGAACCAGAGACAAAATTTTCTTTATTTTCACCTCCTGATTAAGATGAAATATATGTTTTTTAAAATAATTTTTTTTTTCATATTGAAAATTTGATTCTACATTATTTTGTTTTTTATGCCATATGAAATGTAAGCAATCTTCATAAAAAAAAAGGTTTAGACATTTCTTTCTACTTCTTGTTAGTACTATTGAATTTGCACTCCTGAATTATTCTATTGATTTGAAGCAAAGTAATAATAACAATTACCGGCGTTTCAGGACTTTTCTCAATTCCCAAATCTGCCAATTCACTTTCTGTCATCCAAGTTTTGTGAAGTGCTTTACGAACGCCCAGTCTTGGTGGAATAACATTCTGAAGAAAAAAATTTAAATAATAAGTTAGTTTGCAAAAATACAAATTTTTCAGCCCTAAAGTAAATCTATTTTTCTACAATATAGTAGTGCAGAATACCTCTTTATCCACAGCATCGATATCTTGAAATAAGCTTGAATCTGTACCCATAACAGAAAACTTCCTCTCATCACCATTCAAATACAGGCTCCCATATTTCTAAAATGAAAAAGTTAAAAAATGGTGAAAATCATGACAATTCTGTTTATCAAGAGGTCATTATATTAATACACATAAATGAATAATTGAGACTGCCTCACTTGAAAAATTTTTTGTATTATCCATTTTCAAGTCATCATTCAATAGTTAATAAATAATAAGAATAACTATAACAACAATATTTTTTTTTAGAAAAAAAATTTATTTGCTAAAAAAAGGATCAAATCATATAATAGTGAGAAAATGGTTGTTTATTATGCATTTAAGCAGGTGATTTAGTAATTAAATATATTTTATAATTTAAAATTACTTCTTACAACAATAGGAAAGGACTTAGAAGAACAATATTTTTAGACATTAATGTTTAATTTCATACTAATTGAAAAACATTAACATTTAAACTACATAATAATGTATTTAACCTATGTTATGTTGTCAATAGAGGGAAATAGTCTTAAAGTCAAAACTTCAAATTATAATATTCTGTTATTAGACTATCATAATTAAAATTAAAATTGATTTGACAAAGAATGTCTACTAATTAAGCTGTATTTTAGAAAAATTCAATTTGTGTTAAAGAATAAAATTATAAGAGAATAAAATTTTTCATTTTCGCACTGAAGACTTTACTCTTAAATAATATTATGAATCTTTTGCTTATGGCTGGTACAACAAGCAGACAAGAAAGACAGGCTTCCCCATGTTAAGTGTCCTCAGCCTAAATGAGTGGTCATAGTCATCTTTCTAGTGATGCAACATGTTGCAATATAGGCTTTTATTCATTATTTTTTTGTTTTCTAGAATGTTCCAATTCGTCATTTCATGTTTCGTTATTTAGTTCGATAAAAGCTCAGGTGTTTTATGTCGAAACGCCAGTTGCTTTGTTCCCTGTATGTTAGCAGATTCTTAATAAATTTCTTTAATTTTCTGGGCTGCTTTAGATTCATTCTACGTCCCAAAATAACTTAAAATCTTAACTACAAATATGGTGAAAGTTAAACAAATCAAGATGAGGTCAGTGTTTGCAAAATTTACAGCCATAAAAATAGTTTTGAAGAGAAGAAAGACAGTGAGAGAGAGAGAGAATTAAAAATTAACACCAATAAACAAAGTTCATGTTAACCAGAATTTAAGAATGAATATTTACTTTTTTTCTTAATGAAGAACTTCTAGACAGATTATAGTTAAAAACATCTCTCAATGGAGTTGGAGAGTTAATTGTTGAACTCAGCATTGGAACTTTAGGAGTTTGGAGGACACTAAAATAAATAAAGTATGTAAGAGAAAAATCATTTTAAATAAAAATGTATGCAGGAACTTGTATGTTTTATTTAATAATACCTCGATGCTTCTGGATCATCATAACAAAGCAAGCTTAATTTTGTGTGAGATTTTGGAGTTGAGGTCAAAGCTGAATTCAAAAACTGAAAAGAGAAAATAAAAATAAACAAAGGATACATGAAATGTTAGGTATTCATGAAATAGACATCATTCAAAACTTTTTCGCATCATTCAAAATTTAAGACAAACACACATTGTGACGTCATAAAAAATTAAATTCAAAACAAAAATGTCCTCCTTCAGCATAATTAAATCCCATTCAATAAAAAACACAAAGTAAAATTCCACTTGAAAATGTTAAATAATAAGAATAAAATTAATTATTTCAAAAGCAATATATGACAAAATTATGGCTATGTTTGATTTTATGGGGAAGGTAACATAGCAATACTAAGTCATTGATATTGTAATGTCACATATTCATTAATATTAATGTTAAATACGCGATTCTTCCTCTTCATTTATGATTGACATTAAGTTAAACATAAAATGTTTTATTATGTTCGCATATTTTAGAATTCATAAATTCAGATAATAATAGGTATTGAATTTGCTTAAGACAGTTACAACAAATATTTAAATTCCTCTAAAATTATAGAATTAAAAAAAAAATTTATATTTTAAGATATTTCAAATTAAAGTTTCAAACTGATAACAAAAAAATAAAATAAAAAATGAGGCATACTTAATGAAGCATAAATACTTTTTTTTAAATACTCAAGCAATAAACTGCGTAAATTTTTTTTTATTTTTTTGACAAGAGTTTCTTTAAGAAACTTCTCAATGTTAGATAATTTTTCAAAGTATACACAGATTAAGAGAAATTAGGAAAACTTAGTAAAATATAAGCAGGGTATCTGCTACACTTTAGATTTTCAAATTCATGACTTTCCATGATTAATTCCAAGAATTTTTCATGACCTAACAAAGTTACTATTTTCTCCGACAAAAACAAAACAATAAATTTAAAAAAGCATTATCATAACAATCATTGAAATGATAGGTATAACCAAAACTGTTATACTCTGCATCTTCATATTCATAGATTTATAATTTAAAAAACAGAGTAAAAAAAGAGATGAAGCAATAAAATAGCTGAAAAAAATACAAAACAAATTATTTATTTATTTTTTTTTCCTGCAGAATTACATTCTAAAGATAATTTTCTTGTTCATCGAAAAAGAAAGAAATACTCCTGATTTTTCTGTTCTCATTTTGGAATAAAAAAATTCGCCAATGACCGGCTTGCTTCAGGTAAAATTTTAAATTGATAAAATAAAAAATAAATAAATAATAACAAAAATTCTGACATCTCAGAAGTAAAGATAATTTGCTCTAGAAATGTTTTTTCTTTCATTTTTTGAAAGAACACCATCATTTTTAAAGAACACAATAAAAACATTTTAAATTTTAATCAAATATGACTGTGAGTGGGGATTTTGTTACAAATTCAGATTTTCGGAACACTATGAAATTGGGAGGAGGGGGTGAATTCCATTTTAAAAATTAGATTTTTCGGCGACCTAAATCCATGACTTTTCATGATTTTTTTTAAAAAAATAGTTAAAATCATGACACTTCATGACAAATTTTGTTCAATACCAAAATTCATGACTTTCCATGACCTAAATCCATGACTTTTCATGATTTTAAAAAAATAGTTAAAATCATGACACTTCATGACAAATTTTGTCCAATACCAAAATTCATGACTTTTCAGGTGCGCGGATAGCCTGTATAAGATTAGTAAACTATAATAAAGCTAAATTCAAAATAAATGTTTTGAAGCAGTATCCTTACTTGTGATGGGGAAAAAGTTAATGGTTCCATGGGGCTACCATTTTTCAATGGAGTTGAGGTGAGTAACAATTCTTTAAATGGTGACTGGATTTCCACATTATCAAGCGAAAATGTATCAACATCCGGAAGAGGCTTAAAGTTCCCTTCACGATGTGGCTTGGGAGATAAAAATATTTTTGAAAAATCATTAAATTCTGAAATTAGATCTTTGCTTTCGAAATCTGTCACTTGCTCGAATCCATGTTTCAAAAAATGAAGAAGTTGTTCACTGGAATCCATAGTTGCATCATTTCCTAAGCTTGTCTCATTGCAATCCGTTAAAAGAGAAACATCGGACTGAGGTTAGGAGTCAAGGAAATAAATACACTTAGAAAAGCTGTAAGAACATATAAAAGATTTATTTTCGAATATTTTGAAATCTGGATTGCTGCTATTAATTGATATATGTATCTTAATGTAGTGATTGAGAATTTATTTCTTTTAGCTGTAATGAGTAATACAGGATTTATTGTCGACACTTTTGAAATCTTGATTTATCTTAATTAGAGCTGTCTCATCTTACTGTAATTAGAAATACAGGATTTATTGTCTAGAGATCTAATATTTGATAATAATTGCTAAATGGATCATACCTTGAAAATTAATTAAGAACTAAGAATGTAACAAGTAACACAGGGTTTAAAGTCTAAAAATTTTAAAATCTGGTTTAAATTAATTGTCATATGTATCTTAATTTACATTGTTTCATCTTTTTGCTAATGAATTATCACACAATAAAATTAGTCAGAATAACTGTTTTTTGTTTGTTCTGAAAAACAAATCTTATTTAGGGTAAGAAGGTGAAACAACCCACTTGGAAACAAGTTTAAGGAAAGCAACTCAAAATGTGTAACATATTAAGTAACAAATAAATTACATCCCACAAAGATTAAAATATATTAAATTTTGAACATAGAACAATTATGAATTTTGGAGCCATTTATGGAAATAACACAGGGAAAAATAGAAACAACTTTGAAAAATAAAAATTAATTAAAGAGGGGAAAAAATCATAAGATTTAACAAAGCAAAAGGAATATAGTGGATAGAACCTACTGAAAGAATGAAGGTAACAGACAGGTCTAAAAAGAAAACAAAAGAGAAATTATATAATAGAAAAAGTTCAAAGCTAAGATGGCTGGATCAAGTTGAGAAAGACCTGAAAAAAAAATGAAAATCTAGAAAAAGAAATTTGGGGAGAGTGATGTGGAAATCTATTGCAGAGAAAGCCGAAGCCTAGCAAGGGCTGTAGAGCTGGGAAAGAAGAGTAAATAAATTATGCATGGATAACATAGTCATAAGAACGTATTGATGGCACAAAAAGGATACATGTTTTGCCGTTTTGTTGGATGTGGATGGAGAGGCATATCTGGTCATCATTTCAGATGGAATGGGGATTAGACCCTGATTAACAGATTCTTGTTTAATTGCATCAAAGATATGACCATTAAATGTGTAATCTGAAAAATCAAAAAATTATAGTCAATAAAAAAATATTTATTGCATTAAAAAAGTTTTCAGAACTTGTTATACCATAGAAGCCTTTTAAATTTTAACTATCAAATTATTTTTCCCAATTTTACCTGCTTGAATCAGAATTGAACTAGTTAATCTTGCTATTGCAGTTATGTATTATTTTTAGTTGTTTTCACGAAAATGTTGGATGTTTGCCAGCAAACTAAAATTTTAAAAGAATTATACCAGCCACATTTTAACTTTACAATGAAAAACCTCAAACTTTTTAAACAAATTGTCTTACTTGCTACCAAATTTTGAAAAATAGTTAATGCTGAAGTTTTTTTTTTTTTTTTTTTTTTTTCTTTCTTTCTTCTAAGTTCCAAAGATATCTTGCTTTTTTTTCTGCCCAATTTAAAAAGATTTTAGCTGATATTGTTAAACAATGTTTTAATAATATTCGTATCAGCAACAAAATAATATTTCAGATTTACATTGATAAAAATTTTAAAATTGAGCACTAAAATCAATTTTTAATTAAATCTAAATATCAATATCTGACATAGAAAAAAATAAAACACAGAAAAAAGGAAAAACATTTGATTTTAATTCCTAATAATATAGGTGCTTTTTCCATTATAATTTCTAAGAAATCAAGCATACTGGACTGGCATTAAAGAAGTATATTACTGATGTATAGACAAAAAAAAAATAATAATAAATACTTACTTATATGAGATGGTGACCCAGTTTTAATGGGTGTGCTAAGCATTATTTGATCATAACACATAGACATAGATACATCTGCTAGTGAACTAGTGTTCATAATCTCAGAGACGTCCAAATTTTCAACATTAGTACTAAAATTAAAACAAATATTATAAAATACGAAGAAGAAAAAAAGACAGAGCGAAAAGTTAAAACTTAAATTTTTTTTAATCTAAGAATAAGAAAAGCTGGATTGGACAAATGTTTGTACTAATAACCTGGTTGAAAACTAAGAATAGCATTTATATATGTGTAGAATTTATATTTCATTAAGGCTAATCAGAAAAAACCCCATTCATTTCCATGTGTCCTCCTCAAAACAATAAATGACACTGTTCTTCCATGATATTAGACAGGGAAATAGAGTTCGGGGGAGAAATATTCTCCCAATTTTGTCCATTTGTTAAGCCTAAAGTGGGTTAAGCAATGTGCTATTTAAAATATCAATGTTTACAGCAATACATAAAAGCATTTTTTGAGGTTTCCGACATGACGGTTAACACCATCAAAAACTGATACACGTACAACACTTGACTATCTTAAGTACAAACAGCACATATACACACATTTCATAATTATTTTAATTTATATTTCAGTATAAAAATATAATTGATTATAAAAAATAACATATTAATTTACATGGCTATATTTTATTTAATCAGCTTAAATTATGCATGCATCTATATAATCATGGATTTAAAAAAATACCTCAAAGCTGCATTGATAGAGGGAAGCAACTCAACACCGGGAAAAGGTGGATCTTGTAATTCAATAGAGGAAGCCATAGGTTGATTTTTCATACTGTTGATACCGGGATATGTTGCATCAGGTAACAGTAACTGATTTGTGGGAAACTCCAAGGTTTGTCCCATTTCATCATCCAAACTAGGCGGTTCAATCTTGATTTGGGCAGGAAAATCAAGAACTTGAGAAAAACTTTTACAGAGTGGTTTGAAATTTTTAGCTGAATGAGAAATACCTAAAAGAAATATGGGTAAAAATTAAAAACATGTTTTTTTTTAAAAAAAACTACCTTCTTTTTCTTTTATAGTCCACATTCTTATCATATTTACAGAGCATGTCCATGATTAAACATTGACTCCATTTAGGAAATATCAAGTGAATAAAATACTTAGAATTTGAAATAACTTTTTAAAAAAACATCACAACACATAACTAATTTATTAATCACACATCACTACAGATAATCAGTAATCAAAAATATATTTTCCGCTTGACGCCTGTCTTCTTATCACTCTGATCATTTAGACATTTACCAAAAAGGATATTTAAGGGAAAAGATAAAAGTGAAGAAAAATACACACACACACACTATTGACAATAAATATATTTTGAGATTTACATTTTGTAAAAAAATATTTAAAAAATGAAATCAAACACCACAACACAATTAGTACATAATCAAACGGCCTAAAAAATAAGTCTATTAAAAGATATTTATTTTTAAAAATTTTAAATGCATAAATGTACAGGTTTCACAGGCATTCTTATTAAGATTTATCTTTTATTATTTCTAGAAGGTATTGATATTAAATTAAAATATAATTTTCATGTTTGTAAATGATTTTTTTTTACTTACAAACTAATAATATCAGCGGACTTGAAATATTAGTAATTAATATTAAGTTATTAAATAATTATTTAAACATCTTATTGGAATTAATAAATTAAAATATTAATTCCATTTGCTATTTTATTAATTAGAATATCTTACTAAAGAAATCTCAGATGACATTTATTTAAAAAAAAAAATTTATAAAATTCAATGTTCAATGGGTAACATTTATATTTTGAATAAAAAATTGGTTAGAATAACAAAAAAACAATTATCAAAAAAATTAAGACAGATTTAAACTTAAAACCTTATTTTTTGAAGGAGGGGGGGGGAGAAAAAGTTTTTTCCCTTAATGGCTACCAAATTTTATTACTTTCAATTATTATAACATAATAATAATAAGTTAGAGTATTTTGTACACATTGATATAAGCATAGACTGCATAACTCAGAAACTTATAAAAAGCAAATGCACATAAAGTAAAGAAAGCATAACTTACCTATTTTTCCATTAGGTAAGATATTTTTTGGCACCTTTATTGCCTGAGGTACTTGGTTAACATACTTCTTTTTCTGAAACAATAAAAACTATTGCATATTTTTCAATAAATAATAGTAATTATCTTTACTTAAAACTACCATATTAAGAAAAATGGAAACTTTGTGAATATGATATTAAGAGACAAAAGCTAATGTTAAACTACACAGGTTTTAATAGTAACATACAAGTTTTGATGTTACATTGGAGCATCTTACTCTGGTCTTATTACTCTATGTTTTCACTACAGCGCGAGAATCCCGCCTATTTTTTTCTTTTCTCACATTAAAGAATTATTAACGCGAGAAGATCGTGCACTCTATTAATCAATTTCAAAATTAGCGGATTTTGGAAAAAAATTTGTCACAATCACTTTTCTTCCTTGATCTTTCATTATTTTCAACATGGATCCCTGTTATCTAGCTTCCCTATTTACCAGTATTGTTCAGAACCGGTGTGAACAGCAGAACACAATGTGAACAGCAGAACACAACTAAATAAAATTTTAAAAAAATTAGAAGTACAAAACTTATAGTTCAGTATAAATTTATCTAGTTTCAATTCTTCAAATTTCACTTTTCCATTTGTCTTTCAGATTATAAATTTTAGAACTTAACAATTATGCGTAAAAACTATGTGTAATAATGGTTAGCAAAATAATTTTTAAACTAAATTATTAAATTATAGTTTTTTGCTATAAATTTAACACCATCAAATTGGCAATCACAGAAGAAGAAGAAAAAATTTTCTTTTAAGGAAAAATTACTTAAAAAAATATCCCAAAGCCTTCAACAAACAGTATAAAATAAATAAAATATTTATAAAAATAACAATATAAAAAATAGCATAGTAAATGGTATTTACAAACAAATGAACCAATATAAACCAATAGTAATATCAAGATTAGTTTTGAAAATTTTGGCCAGTTCAAATAATTTGGCTCAATTGTAACAAAAATTAAAATTTATATTGGAATGCTGAATTATGTAAGAATTTTAGAGAACAAAACATTGTTAAGTATCCAAAGAAAGCTTATTTATAGTTATTATGACACAAATTGGCTTAGGGTTAATTATAGTTATTATGACACAAGCTGAGTAAAGAATCATTCCAAAAAATTTGAAGAAAAAGGCAGACTCTGATCTAGAAGCATAGATAATGTTTAAAAAAAACTCAAATAATTGTTCAAAATTTTATTCTTATGCAAAAATTATTTATTCATAAAAGTAACACACTGGAAGACCATATCAACTGATGGACCCCGTTAGAGAAAAAGAATTGTTTCCCTTTATATTTTACCTTGTAAGCTCGATTCTGTGGAGGAGAATGCTTATCGCCAAGAAGATATGCAACTTTTTTCTTCAGTGTAGAGTTCCAGTGATTTTTAATTGAGTTGTCAGTTCTAAAAATTAAAAATTAACAAAAGTCATATATAATTCAAATTTTAAAAGTTAAAATAATAAAATTTGCAATATTAAATAGGGATTTTATAAAGTTTCTTTTACTTTTCTTCAAAGCAATGAAACAGTTTACAGACTTTAGCTATTTGTAAATGTAGAATCAGAATTTTTTTTAACTCTAAAAAATGCCAAATATTTCTTATGAACTACCTTTATGAAAAAAACCTAATATATTTGATTCGTTAACTTTCAAACTATGTGATTACATAATATAAAGAAATATGAAAGTGATTAAAAAAAATTAGCAACTTCCTTGAGAATATTTAAACTTATGTTTAGAATTTCATAAATCTTAATTTAGACATTATTCTTTAAAAAGAATAAAATATTCATATGCTTACATAATACTGCATGTTCATGGTATTTGAACACAGAAAAGCACTGTTTATTACAATTTAAGATTTTAATACAAATCCAATTCTGGGGGAGATAAAAAAAATTGCTCAACTATTAACTCATGCCAGTAATGCTTAATTGTGGAAATAGGTACTAGTGGACTAGTGGTATTGTCGTAATGGGGTACTAAGATAGGTAAAGATAAGTCAATTTTCAAGCATTTGGAAGAAAAATATACCAACATTATTTCTACCTTTTTCTATTCTGAAGCAAAAACAATAAAAAGAAACAGTAAGCAATTAAAAATAGCAAAAAAAGAAAAAGTAACTGAACAACTCAAAAAATGCCACTATTGATTTAAAAAAAAAAAAAAAACTTACCTGCCAGGTAGCTGTTTAGCAATCTTTGACCACTGGTTACCCCACAACCTATGATATTGGCAAATCAATTTTTCTTCCTCCAATGTCCATGCTGTTTTCTTGATACAAGGATTTAGATGGTTGTGCCACCTACAAAGATTGATTTATCCAAATGAATTTAAATTTTTTTAACATTTTAAAACCAAAGAACTATATCAAAATAGAAAAAAAAAAAAAAAATGAGTTTTATCATATATACCTTTCTCGACACTGTTTCCCAATTCTTCCTCTAAGATGTTTAGCTATGAGGGTCCATTTTTTTGGACCATACCTCTTAACGAGTTCAATAACTTTCTCGTCTTCCTGAATAGGAAAAATGTAAAAATTCATTAGTATTTTTAATCAATTAATTTCTTAGCTTTAAGCAACAGCTAATAATCAAGTGTTAACTAAAATTATAGGTGGCAGGACTAATTTGTAGGCGTCAGCATGGAAAAAAGCATAACAGCTTTTTTCTCTTGTGATTTTTGCGAAAGACAATAATTATTTTTAAAACATATAATTTAAAAATATAAAGTAGTAAATGTTATTTTTATTTTTAAGATAAAAGCAGTTTATCACTTCAATGTTTAAAAATGTGTTATAAACATTTCTTTCTCTAAACATTATTGAATTTTTGTTTTCATTTTTACAATATATATATATATATATATATATATATTTCACTTTTTTTATTTTTAAATAAATGACTAATTCCAAGATCAAAATTTTATTTTGCAATGATTATATTTATCCAAAAAAAAATTTTTGGTCTAACTTTTTTCTAGATTTGCATACATTTGATAAAGCAACTAAATATTACATTAATTAAGATCAAGAAAAATATCACCATTATGTATAGTATTTTATTATTATTTACTGTTTAAATCCTATCAAAACAGAGCTAGACAAGGAAAAACACATTTAGCTGTTTTTCTTTAAAATATTAACATTAAACTGTTCTGTTAATATGGCAAAAAGTACATATGCTAAGGTACANTAGTTTTGAAAATTTTGGCCAGTTCAAATAATTTGGCTCAATTGTAACAAAAATTAAAATTTATATTGGAATGCTGAATTATGTAAGAATTTTAGAGAACAAAACACTGTAAAGTAATCAAAGAAAGCTTATTTATAGTCATTAAGACACAAATTGGCTTAGCGTTAATAATAGCTATTAGGACACAAGCTGAGTAAAGAATCATTCCAAAAAAATTAAAGAAAAAAACAGACTCTGTTCTAGAAGGATAGATAATGTTAAAAAACAACAGAAAAAAACTCAAAAAATTGTTCAAAATCTTATACAAAAATTATTTATTCAGAAAAGTAATACACTGGAAGACCATATCAACTAATGAACCCTGATAGAGAAAAAGAATTTTTTTCCTTTATATTTTACCTTGTAAGCTCGATTCTGTGGAGGAGAATGCTTATCGCCAAGAAGATATGCAACTTTTTTCTTCAGTGTTGAGTTCCAGTGATTTTTAATTGAGTTATCAGTTCTAAATATTAAAAATTAACAAAAGTCATATATAATTCAAATTTTAAAAGTTCAAATAATAAAATTTGCAATATTAAATAAGGATTTTATAAAGTTTCTTTTATTTTTCTTCAAAGCAATGAAACAGTTTACAGACTTTAGCTATTTGTAAATGAATTCAGAATTTTTTTTTTATTCTAATAAATGCGAAAAATTTCTTATGAACTACCTTTATGAAAAAAACCTATATTTTTTATTTGTTAACTTTCAAACTATGTGATTAAAAATATAAAGAAATATGAAAGTGATTAAAAATAATTAATAACTTCCTTGAGAATATATATTTAAACTCATGTTTAGAATTTCATAAATCTTATTTTAGACATTATCCTTAAAAAAAAAAACAAAAAAAAAAAAAAAAAAAAAAAAAAAAAAAANAAAAAAAAAAAAAAAAAAAAAAAAAAAAAAAAAAACAATATTCATATGCTTACAGACATAATATTGCATGTTCATGGTATTTGAACATAGAAAAGTACTGTTTATTACAATTTAAGATTTTAATACAAAACCAATTCTGGGGGAGTTAAAAAAATTGCCCAACTATTGCTGATGCCAGTAACGCTTAATTGTGGAAATAGGTACTAGTGGTATTGTAATGGTGTGCTAACATAGGTAAAGGCCAGGAATGTTTATTAGTGAATTTTGGAAAAAAAATATCACCATTATTTCTACCTTTTTCAATTCTGAAGAAAAACAATAAAAAGAAACAGCAAGCAATTAAATAAAGAAAAAAAATAAAGAGTAACTGAACAACTCAAAAAATGCCACTATTGATTTAAAAAAAAAAAAAACATTACCTGCCAGGTAGCTGTTTAGCAATCTTTGACCACTGGTTACCCCACAACCTATGATATTGGCAAATCAATTTTTCTTCCTCCAATGTCCATGCTGTTTTCTTGATACAGGGATTTAGGTGGTTGTGCCACCTACAAATATCATTTATCCAAATGAATTAAAATTTTTTTAACATTTTAAAACCAAAGAATTATATCAAAATAGGAAAAAAAGTAAATATGAGTTTTATCATACATACCTTTCTCGACACTGTTTCCCAATTCTTCCTCTAAGATGTTTGGCTATGAGGGTCCATTTTTTTGGACCATACCTCTTAACGAGTTCAATAACTTTCTCGTCTTCCTAAATAGGAAAAATGCACAAATTCATTAGTATTTTTAATCAATTAGTTTTTTAGCTTTAAGCAATAGCTCATAATCAAGAGTTAACTAAAATTATAGGTAGCAGGACTAATTTGTAGGAGTCAGCATGCTATGCAATGGAAAAAAGCATAACAGCTTTTTTCTGTTATGATTTTTGCTAAAGACAATAATTATTTTTAATTAAAATATAATTTAAAAATATACAGTAGTTAATGTTATTATTAGATAAAAGCAGTTTATCACTTCAATGTTTAAAAATGCGCTCTAAACTTTTTTCTTTCTCTAAACATTATTGAATTTTTGTTTTCATTTTTACAATATACATATATATATATAAATATATATATTTAACTTTTTTTATTTTTAAATAAATGACTAATTCCAAGCTCAAAATTTTATTTTGCAATGATTATATTTATCCAAAAAAAGAAATTTTTGGTCTAACTTTTTTCTAGATTTGTATACATTTGATAAAGCAACTAAATATTACATTAATTAAGATCAAGAAAAATATCACCATTATGAATAGCATTTTATTATTATTTACTGTTTAAATCCTATCAAAATAGAGCTAGACAAGGAAAAACACATTTAGCTGTTTTTCTTTAAAATATTAACATTAAAATGTTCTGTTAATATGACAAAAAGTACGTATTCTAAGGTATTTTATTAATCTTTAATCTCTTTACAAAAAATAATTTTTTAAAATTTAAATATGATTTATTATCTTAAAACATTAATACCATAAAACTTTGAATTTATGTTCTCTATAATAATGAACATATTTTAAATTCTTTTTTCATGTGATTAAGAGATAGCATAATACTGATATGGATAGGAGTATCATGAGTTTGAGTTAGTTAAAATATTGGACGCCAGCTATGACTTTTTAGGTGCCATAACAACCGGATGCTCGGGATATGTCAGCACTAGCTAATGATAAAATTTAAAATAAAACTTCTTTAAGGGCCTTACTTCTTTTGTCCAAGGTCCTTTGACAAGTTCTGGATTGACAACTTTGTACCATCTTTGCTGACATTGGACATCACTTCGGTCAGGAAATTTACTAGCAATTAATTCCCATTGACTCTCACCATAAGTTTCAACTAAAACCTTTAGCTTTTCATCCTGGAAATATAACAATGATGAACTTTATAAAGTTGAAAAATATAATCACTGCGATCTTATAATGCTCAGATTATTTGCAATATGATGAACATTAAAACAGAATAACATATAATTTACTCTGAAAGAAATAATGTTTTAAATTTAGTAGTACCAATGATACAAACAAAAATATTTAAAACTATGGCCATTAATGAAAATCAGGAAAAGTTATGTTCATTACAAAACAAATCTAAAGTTAATATTCTACATCTAAAATTAATATTCTGTATAAGCTTTTTGCATTCTCTTGATTAAAATACTCAATATGATAAATAATATAATACTTTGAAGAATCCAGGACAACAAGCTTGTTCCAAAGGTCGAAAAAAAATGCAGTGAAAACTGGTGTAAACAATATTGACAAAAATAGGACTTTACTGCAAATACAGCAAAAACTATTTTGGGTGGGCAAAAAATGATAATCTTATTCCATTAGAAAAAAAAAAGTTTTCTATTAAATAAAGAGTAGGATGCAAATTCATTAATTAAATTACTTAAAATAACTATAACTAAAAATCATTAGATTACATTGAAATTTGTATGCAAATATAGTACAGTAGGGAACCGATTATCCGGAACGATCGGGACCATCGCTATTCCGGATAACTGATTTTTCCGGTTTTCTGAATCGCTACAAAAAGCCGTTTTTTCATTGCTAAACCCAACTAAAAAAAAATTTTTTTTGGAAATAATCTTGAAAAGAAGAAAAAACGATGGAGTAATACACTAATGATTATTTCCAAAATGATGGTAAGGTAAACATCTTTCAAAAAACAACGAAAAATCCTAAAATCTTATGAGGAAAAAAAAATTTTTTTTTTTAAATATGGCGGGAAAATTTATCGAATTTCGTTCCGGTTTTTTGGTTTTCCGGTTTTCTGATTTCCGGATAACGGGTTCTGTACTGTATTTAAAGCGAAAATTTAAAATATTAACATCATTTTACAATAATTCAACACGTAAAAATATCAGTAGAAACAAAATATCTCTTCATTTAATTGAATAAGCACTACTGAGTTACACTGCAATTAAATGTAAACAAATATCTCTTAAGTAAATTTTAAATATTAATCTTGTGGCAGAATCACAGCGACATTGTCCCAGAGAGTTAAAAGAGTTCTTGCAGAAAGAATTTTCCTTTAGGAAGTAAAAAATACTGGCTTTTTTTGCAGAATTTTTTGTCCTCTAAAATTCTACTTAAAAGATGTCTTTATCGTGCAACGGAAGGGAAAGAAATGTTCATGATTTTTCTATTCTCATTTGAGAAGTATGACAAAGAAAATATAATGAAGTAAAATATTGCTTTACAGCAGAAATGCTCGCAAGATTTTTTTCCCCCGTGCCTTTTCACATGCATCAGAGGGGAAAGAAATGACAGCGATTTTTCTATTCCTATTTGGGAATAATGAAAAATAAAGAATAATATAAAGAAGCAACAATTTTAAACCAATTTTTTTCTTTTTTACCGAGATATGTTGAAATATATCAATATTACTACAGCATGCAAAATACGTATTTCGTGCTCAAGAATGTATTCATTCACAAGGAAGAACATATTGCATATTCATTCTTTGAGACACTCGTTTTGCGCTGATATTCTTGTTAATCCAATACGAATTTTCACATTTAAAAAAAGAAATTAAAACAAATCTCAATGTTTTCTATACAATTTAATTATATGGAAACTCAAATTATTTACTTTTAATGTAACGTTTTTATCGTTTTTCAGACTTTTTATTACTAGTGCTACCGAATTCTAAGGGTTTTTTAAAACTCTGGTTATTTTTCAAATAATATTATTTCTACACGTAAATAAAAGTGAGCACCTGTAAAGACTATATTCACATGCTCACTTTATGTCGATATCATCACCAACCAATATAGTGTTCCAATTGTATTTTTGGCAGTTATTGATATGGAGTTTCACCTGGTTTTTAAATATCCCGGTTTATTTTGGACAATATAGGAAATTTTAATCACGCATGTAAATATTTATTTGGTATAAAGTAATGATTTTATCGTTTTTTTTTCCTGGGGGGGGGACATTTGTATCCACAGTTTTCAAATTCACATCTTTTTCACGCGATATTATTTAATATAATCACAACAATTGAATTTCGAAACGGAACACAAATTTAATACTTCCTTTTTGAAAAGTCCAATTTACCTGATTTCGCTATTGATCGTTTTTTTTCGGTAGTTACTGCTGTGGATTTCAAGATTTTTTTTACTGAGATGAGATGATTTCTGAGATGAGGAAATAATTAGTGTGTTTTTCTCCAACAAAATGTGAAAATATTGCCCTTGATATCAGAATATACAATTTTTAAATCCAAATCGGCTTTACATTTAATTTTTTTAATTTTATTTTATCAGTTTATTTTTTTGTAAGCATTGTTACTGTAAGTTAGTAGCATGTATATTTGTTATTATTAAAAGTATCTTGCAGAAAGATATTAGTGATAGAGAGGTCTGTCGCAGAAAGCCCAAAAAAAATTCTGCCTCAGAGGACATAAATATTTTTTTTTTTAAACTTTTAAAATGTTTTATTTCATAAATTTTTTTATTGGGGAATAAAGTAGAGGGCTTGGTATAAAGATCATCTATGTATTAATAAATCTAAACTGTGATATTATAACACACAAAATGCACCAATATTTTTTAATGATCAGTGATAAAGCAAGGATAACTTGTTATCAATCAAGTCAAAATAAATTTTCTCACATAAGTTCAACTGTGTGATTAAAATTTTAGCGAATCATCGAAAATATAAAACTAAAATAAAAAAATACATTAAAGTTATCATAAAATTTAGTATTTGAAAGCTAAAAAAAACTAACTCAGTGGCGCGACAGCCCATTAAGAGGGCCAAGGCCGACTGTGCCCATCTCAGTTTTCTTGACCTTGGGCTCTGGGGTGCAGGAGCATATGTTCCGGTCAGGTGGTCAGCCGAACGCGGAACCCCCAGTGTTAGTTCCCAAGCATGCTTGGTACTCATTTTATCGACCCACTGAAGGGATGAAAGGCTGAATTTGAAAGCTAGTAATTGAAATAAATATTTCTGAATAACTTCATTCAGGAAGGGAAAAAAAATTAAAATTCAAACATAATTTGCTGCTTTTTTTCTAACTGCAATTTTAATAAAAAAAAACATACCTCTTCTTTTAACCATCTGCCTCTATTAATAGATTTGCTTCTCACTCTCAATCCTGAAGCATGGGAATTATAGTCACTATCCTCTTCCTCTGATGAAGATCCATATGAAAAAGACGTTGATCTAAAATAGAAGGTCAAATTTAATTTTTGTACAGTTTAAGAGTAAGTAATTAAAATAATATAGCCTTCAGGGACAATGGAATAGTGCTTGCTATTGTAGTGGTAGGTAAAATATTTTCCACCAATTTGCCCAAAAAATTTGACAAATACAACATTACCATAAGAAATGGAATTCATAAGTGTTTTATTAATTCCTTTAAAAAAAAAAAAAAAACATTTAGGGGCTTATTTGTTTCAGTGGGCTATAAAATACTAATATAGATACTACATATAGGCACTGATGAAATCAATTTTTTTAAATCCCAGAAACGACAGTACCAACAGTTGTATGTAACAAAATCGTACAAATAGTTATATTCTACGTCAGGATTTATTATGATAACATTTTATTTTTAGATTAATGAAATTAAATGATGTATAAATTGACTGGTAAAAAGTAATTAATAGAAGATAAAAATTTATCAATATGTTCAATTTATCATCATTTTTAAACAATGTCCACAACACAGTAAAAAGTTTTATCCTACCTAGGCAAAACCCCTGTTAAAATTTTAGGAATTGAAGTCTTTTTTTCTAGACTAGTCACAAAAATAAGAGAGAGATAAATGTGACTTGTTTTTTTTTTACAGATAATATCACAACAATACTAATATATTTAAATTAAAATCAATACAGAATATATTGATTCAAATTATCAGTAGGTACATTTAAATTGAAAATTTTATTTATGCAACCAGATTAAACTACCTAATTAAGAGAGCAAAAAGATTTGATGTTTCATAATAATTATAATTAAAAATGGCAAGCATAATGATAGATTAAGATTAAATACAAGTGAAGAAAAAACTCTTGATCATAAATCAGAAGAATAATCCTATCAATAGTTTTCTTTTACTAAGAAAATGTCAGATTAATTATTAAAAGATTAATTAAACTGGATTTGAACTAATACAGCAAAATAAAATAATTTCTACTATTTAAAATAAATGAATTGTAAAGAAATGAAAGAATTAAGTTAGTAAAAAGTAACTAAAATATTTTTTTTGAATAGTCATAACTGCATTTAGTGTGTTTAATTGATAAATAAAGTGAAGAAAAATATTTTATTAATAACACCATATATTTAGAAACTTATGTTTTCAATATTTAAAATAATCATATTGTAAAGCATTATTGTCATTTATAGTGAAAATCAAAGAAGAAATTTAAACACAGCTTGCAGAGCACTATCAATATGTTCAAACAAATATTTCGTGTTAAAAAAAAAAATCAAGAAGTTTCTAAGATCAACATGAATTAAGGATATAAAATTTTTTTAAAAAATTGCTCGATCATTTTCTTTTATTAAAATAAATTGTCTTTAAATCAGTAGACATAAGTACAGCATACAACTATAGACAAGCATTTGGTTCTGTAAGTCTTTGTTTGAGAAGTTAAAAGTTAGTGATTGTATAACAAAATTAAAAACAGAATAGCGATTCTTATATTAAATAAGAAGATAAAAAGGTAATACTAATGTAAAACTAAACATTAATAATAATTGAATGATTGTAATTTAGCAATTGTTTTAGACAAGAAAGAAAACAATATCAACAACAAAGATCAAAGTTATGTAAGTACAGATGATTCACACACCTAGGTCTATAGCTAATCTTTCGCTTATTATTTCGGCGTAACATTATTTTAAAACGGTAAATAGCATAAACAAGACATTCTATTTAAAGTATATTAAATAGAAAGTTAGCGTATCTATTCGTTTATAAGGCACTTCCCTGTCAAAACAAACAAATAAACCAAACTCCCGCGTTATTTTGCTTTGTTGAGTAGTATTTCCTGATTCTAATGATGCTTTAAAGCTCTTCTTTGATTGGTCAGTCCACTTTTCAGAACAGATGTTCCAGTTTCTAAACCTTTATCATAACCGTAACATCAAGTAATGATCTAGTTTAACTTTTTATACAAAGTTTAATTCTCACTGCACTAAAGATTGCTGCTACAAATGCATTGCACTAATCAGATTGTCGATTTCGTTCATTTCTCTCTCAAACACTTGTCCCGCAGTGGACTGATCGTTAAGACACGGTTCTCAGCAGATCACCGAAGTCAAGCATCACTGGCTGCGGTCAGTGTGCGGGTGGGTGACCCACTTGGATCAGTCTGCGTAGGGACCGAGGGTGTGCGGTATTGGTCCTCGTTAAACTGTGCTACCGTAAAGTGCTCGACTTCGCGTGCAGGTCGTTGGGCTACCGAAACGGGGGTGCCATCCCCTCCGCAGAGGATCAAAATTGTGATGGCATGTCTTCGGATCATCCTCAGGGATGTTTCCCAGACCGTCGCCAATAGCCCATTGTGCAGCTCTAGTGCGACGTAAATGAACTACTACTACTACTACTACTACTACTACTACTCTCAAACACTTTTAAAAAATTCTCTTTGCACAATCTGAAGAGCTAATCCTTTCTCCTTGCGGAGCACTCTTATTGCATGTGGTTGCGCGTCGGTTAATAAGCTTTGCGGGTGCGTGAGCTGATTATGTAGTTTCAAAACATTTGCATATGCGATATACTTGCATACTCATTAGATACGATATTTTCGGATACAAAGGAGAATTATTCTAGTATTATATATTATGTTTATCTCGGCATATTGGCGTGAGGTGCCATTGACCAATTGATCGAGTCTTTCGATCTTAGAAAGCTACAAAATTTTAAATAAACTGGAAAATAGAGTAAATGTGAGAATCAGGGAAAAAAATTTATTCTAGTTACCTTGGTAAATATGATGATCGCTAATGTATCTTAGGTTATGCTATGGATGGTGTTTTCTACACTAGAGTGCATTGCAAGCTCTTTATCGACTATACTTCGGTGTTACTGTCTCCTTTCCTGTGTGTGTATTTTAAAGCCATTTGGCTCAACAACGTGATCATTGTGTTTTGAGACATCTTGTGTACGTATATTTGGTTACTTGTCTTTAAAAAAGTATCGCTGTAAGAATCGTCATTTGAAGACCTGACATTTCAAGACGTAAGAATCGTTATTTAAAGAAAAGAATCTTTATATAACACTTCTTACCTTGTCAACAATATACCAACTTGAAAATTTAAACCTAAATGATAATTTGTAAAATAAATCTAATCTCGCTATTCGAATAATATTCTAACTCTAACGTATGGTGGTGCTCGGCTTGCAATAAGAATAAACAGTAATACTAAAAAGAGTCCAAATCGGGACTGTCGAAAAAGTGAGTCCTTTCGAAATCTAGCAACCGTGTAATCTTTTCTAACGATGCATCATGATGCATCTATAAATAACTAAAACAAATTTTCACTTCAATATTACCAGAATTATTTAATATCATTAATAACTTATGAAATACAGCAGAGTTGAGCCCAGAAATTATTTATTTTATTTAAAAAAAATTATCTATTTGAAAATATCGCCTTGATCGTAGAATAAGCTGTATACTTTCTGCATGGATTTTAATGGAATTAGCACACATTATATTGCACATAATAATGAGTAAAATAAAATAAAAAGTATTACCTAGACAATTATGGTGTTAAAATTAGCTCGAACGCTTTCTATAATGCTGTTGTTATAATACTTTTAATTATGCGGTCTACCAGTTCCAGATCGATAAGATTCAAGTCCGTAGATTGAGTTGGCCACTCCATGCGCTGAATTGCTTGCTGCTGAAAATAATCATGATGAGGTGAGCCCTGTGCAGCATTGCGTAATCGTCCTGTCAATTGCGAAATCATCCTCTATTGCACTAGAATAACTGAAAGCATAAACATCAAGGATGTCCTCTCAGCGTGGCATCGTGAGCATTCATGGTGCCTCGTGACAAGACATGCAGGTTGCTATTCGTCCACCCAAACTAGTACCACCCCACACTCTTTGTATACATCTCTTTCACAGATATTTGATGTAAGATATCGGGTTCCAAGTCAGCTCTAAATCAAACAAAGCCTACAATCACGTTGGAGCCTAAACTTGGACTCATCCATTTCTCAGCAGTCCCATGAGCATGTTACTGCGTCCACCTCAAGCGTTCCCTTCTATGGCGTGACGAGAGTGGCACTCAAATTTCTGAACGCCTAGTGAATAAACCACGTTCGTGAGGCCTTTTACGCGTAATAGACGTTGACGATAATCTTCTGGTGGCTGCACTAAGAGAGGATCTGATCTGACTTGGAGTTGCGGTTCTATACCTTCGTGTATATAACAATACATATCGGTCACCAGTGCTTGTCATAGCATTTGGCTGCTCTTGGTTGAACCTTGGCGTTTTTGGCTGATGCCGAACTTGTAGTTAGTAATTGTTGCCTAAACTCAATGGACCATAGAAGGACGCACATTTGGCCATTTGGCCTCTTCTATCTGACTCTTCTAATAGATCTCCATCACTGATTTGTAGACAAATAATGTCTGCTGGATGTAATTATTACAAATTCGCTATCTCAAATATTTAATTTCAGTAAAACCGCAAAATTCGTACTCTTGCAATCAAGTATACAATTTTATACTCATTGCAGAAGAAATCATTCCATTACAGCACCACAAATTTATAAATTACTTAGCCACTCTTATTACTCAATTTAAATTTAATTCAGATTCACTTATATTCTGGAAAGTTATCGCTATTTTTTAAAATTTTTCTTAATTTAAGTCAACTATAGTTAGTTTAATATCTCGTGAAAGTATGTACAGTCCGCAAAAAAAAAAACGAATCACCCTGAATAACTTTCGTTCTAATGATCGGATTTTCACGAACTAAGTGTCAATCTTAATGGTTCCTGGGGGTGACCTCAAATATGCTAATTAATTAGTNTTCTTAATTTAAGTCAACTAATGTAGTTAGTTTAATATTTCGTGAAAGTATGTACGCATGGAGAAAAAAAGTGGTGTTTTTTTATATTTGTTACAAAAAATATCACTTTGTTGATGACAAAGAATATTGTTCTTTTAATTAAGCACAGTTCCACTTCAACCACCTTACTTTGTTTTTATTTGAAAACATTAAGAAAAACATCATGCGGAATACCAGAAAGAATGAGAACTAAAGGTAATGAGATAGTAAAAACAAGGCTCCGAGTAGAACACCGAAGTCAAGCCTCACTGGCTGCGGTCCGTAAGAGGTTGGATAACCATCTTGATCAGCCTGCGTAGAGACCGAGAGTGTGCGGTATAAATCCTTTTTAAATTTTTTTACTCTATATTGCTCAATTTCACGAGCAGTCATGTTCGGCCTGCCAAAGCTGGAGAGCCATCCCCTCTGCAGAGGGCCAAAATTGTGATATCATGTGTGTAGACCATCTTCAAGGATGTTTTCCAGACCAACATTCAGTACACCACCCACTCGTTTCGTCTTCGCGTACCACGGCTCAAGTCGGGGTTCGAACATCCGTGGTAAGCTGAGTATATGATTGAAGTACACATTTTCTACGATTCTTTCACCGGGGTTTAATATTCTCTCATATGTAATATTACCTGCTGTTTCAGAGCAAGAAAAGTTTACGAGCGTTAGGGAGGCTAGGGAGCATGATGAGGAACCCAGATGATTACAACCTCTAATTATCCTCCAATCCAAACTCTGATAGTATAATGAACGCGTGTCTTCCAATCCTCATATAGGATGAACCAAACCATCACTAGAAGCCCATTAGTGTAACTCCATTGTGATGTTTGCAACCAAACCACTTAATGCTATTGGTTCATTTTGATCTGAAAGCGAGGATATCGAAAATGTGAGGTATGGGTCCACTTTACACCCTTTTAGTATATAATGCTGGGTTTGGCATGCAGGTCATCAGGCTAACAAAGCAGGGGAGTCGTACCCTCCACAGAAGATCAAATTGTGATGACATGTTTTCGGATCATTCTCAGAGATGTTACCCAGACAGTTGCCAATATCTCACTCTGCAGATCAAATGTGACGTAAATATAATACTACTACAACTGCTATTATTCTTTAAAAAAAAGTCCGGTTGTTTTCAGGTGAATTTGTTTATTCTTGGGTTCATATCACTGTACATGTCATGCAGAATGTAAATATCTCATAGAGGAGCACTTTTTCATTGCTGTGGCAAAACCATTAGTAGCTGCATTTCATAAGTCAGATCAGCATAAATAGATTTGTTAGACAATTTGATTGACTCAATGTAGCTGTATTCATTTAACGCCAGCAATGATAAAGGGCCAGTCGTAGTGCATGCAAGCGGATCACATACCCGGGGGTGCTGCCTAAGCATAGATATGCGATCATTTTTGGCCGACAAATCAGTACCGGAGTTCAAAGCAGACAAAGGGGAAGGTATTCGACAGGTATAGTTTGTCAAAGCTAAGAACTCCTCCCGCCACGAAGTCTGAGGCCGCCTGGTGCTATGGAAACATCAATGGCTCAATTTAGGGAGGGTGGCTTCACTCTAGGACTAACACAATAGACCGAAGAGAGAGATTCCCTTTCTCTCGCCAACCCGAGCCGAAACCACTCCAAAACATTGACCCCGCACCCCTACATGAAATAGTCATACCTCGTTACCACAGTTAGCGCCACAGGTCCAGACGAATGTCTGGGTGAATTCTTATTTAGAACAAACTATGGACTTATTATATCCTTAACTCTAGGGATGATTTTTATTTTATTTTGTATCCGTCTTTGAACAGCCGATCCAATTTTGGGTTTACAACTACTAGTGTTCAACTTCGTACCCTTGTAATTTTGAACCAATCCAGAAGACAAGGAGACTTCTGGATCAGTACATCCAGGGGTATTGATTTGTTTTGGGAACATGGAGGACTTTGCGACTCGGCAGATTAAACCTGCATCGGTCACCATTTGCGTTCTACGGCCGACGGGGGTCGAACCCACGAACTCTTGGACATGGACCCAGTGCCCTACCAACCAGGCTATCCCGGCTCTTCTATGGATGGTTGACCGTGTAAAGCTACGCACAGATGCCGCTAGGGTTTACAACTCATTGTAAGACTTCCAAATGACTACTTCCGGCTGATTTTTCGCCTAAACTTGAAAAAATGCACCATCCAATATTATTATACTTGTAGTGTTTACAATATAAATCGTTCCTTCAATCTAACTTCAAACGAAACAACCAACAGATGAATTTGGAAAACTCCGCAAACTTGCTATAATGCTACCCAAAAAATAACCAACGGTGCTATTTTACACAAATATAGCCAAATAAAGTATAACACTCAAAACATGACTACTGTTCTACCGTAAAGTGCTCGACTGCGCGTGCAGGTTGTTGGGCTCCAAAGCGGGAGTGCCATCCCCTCTACAGAGGATCAAAATTGTGATGGCATGTCTTCGGATCATCCTCTGGGATGTTTCCCAGACAGTTGCCAATAGCCCATTGTGCAGCTCTAGTTTGACGTAAATGAATTACAAAACATAACTAACCTTACACTTTATTTATGCTGTGATATTAATTTTGTTAAACTTGTTTGAGGCTCATAATCTGTTAGAATTTATAAATTAATGAAAACACTATCAATGGTAAAATTACGTGTAAATTTTATACACAAATCCCGGTAACAAAACTTCTTAGAATATCAAGCTTGTTGTTGTTGTTAATTTACGCTGCACTAGAGCTGCACAATGGGCTATTGGCGACGGTCTGGGAAACATCCCGGTGGTTGATCCGAAGACATGCCATCACAATTTTGATCCTCTGCGGAGGGGATGGCACCCTCACTTCGGTAGCTCGACGACCTATTTAATCTTTAAGAACTTTTGTTGAAATTAATTAGAAAAGTAACTGTACAAATGTCCTTTGAAGGAAGAAACGAAATTGCACTACCTAAGTACAGAGATAAAAAAGANGACTTCGGTGATCTGCTGGGAACCGTGTCTTAACAATCAGTCCACTGCGGGACCAAGCTTGTTCACACATCGCCTCGTAAGCATAACGTAAGCAGAAGTATACACCGGAAGTTTACTAATTTCTTTCGGTTTTAGGAAACTTGTTATTGTTTACATTCAGATCTGTGCTCAGAAGTCGATAAAGAATTTAAGCGCTTCCAATGAAGCATGAAGACACTTACTGAAAAAGCAAAATTAAAAGCAAAATTAATTACGAACATTTTGGTCAATATTAAAGGTGAACCATTCAGAATGCTATGTCTAAATACATCACTTTCATGCTACGTTCATTTATTTTTTTTACAACAATGGGTTCCAAATGGTTTTAAATTTTTATTGTTAAATTTCCGTTACTTTAGAACTTTTTGTATGAAATGATGCCATAAATTTTTAGAAACAATATTGATGATTTTTATTCTATCACTATCCCTTTTATTATTAAAATGAAAATATTTTCGTATTATTGCTTTCAGAATCTATTTTTCAAAGAAAATGGTCCGAATATTTCGTAATTCATATTTAAGAAAAATGTAGGAAATAAAACATAAAAATGTTTTTATTATTTTTTTTATTGACCATTGTTCCCAATGATTTAGGTAAAATCCATTTCTTCACAAAATGCAAATTGTGTTGATGTTTTTCATNAAATGAAAATATTTTCGTATTATTGCTTTCAGAATCTATTTTTCAAAGAAAATGGTCCGAATATTTCGTAATTCATATTTAAGAAAAATGTAGGAAATAAAACATAAAAATGTTTTTATTATTTTTTTTTATTGACCATTGTTCCCAATGATTTAGGTAAAATCCATTTCTTCACAAAATGCAAATTGTGTTGATGTTTTTCATATTTTGTGCCCACAGACTGAAGGAGAAAATCCTTGATCCGTCTTATTTTAATAAACATAAGTTTTTTCCTTTTTTTTCGAGGTAGTTGATCAGTAGATCGAAAAGCGAATGAAGGTTAAAACAAAAACATTTATATATTTTTACTGAGTTGAAGGAAGGGAATCAAGGATCAACTGAATAATCCACTGTTAAACCTTTTACACAAAAATTTTATTAAACATATTTTTTATTATTATTTTGTATTAATTTAAATCTAAATAAGTAAAAATTATAACATTTTGCATTTTAGTATTTAATGGTTATGGAATACACCGATGTCTTTTTCTGTGTTAAAGATAAAATCTTCCAAAAATGGGCATTTCCAAGTAATAATTTTTTAAAATTTGCTTTAATTTATAAAATCAATTATTAATAAATGTTTGAACTTGAATGAGCATGAGGAAAAATAGTTTTTCAAACTATCTTTTATAGATTTTATATTTTAGAACAAATATAATTTTGATAATCTCCCATATTTTTTCGTAACTATTAGACTGTTTTTTAATAATTTAAAAAGATCAAAATTAATTTTTGCCGATAATTAGACCGTCAGAAAAAGATAAATAAAAGGGACACCGGTGTCCCATCTGTGTCAAAGGGTATTAATTTTTTCAAATTTCTCTTCAATGCTCAAGCAAATGATAAGGAATTTGACAAAATTCTTTCATTTTCTCCTCATCGACAGCCATTTTTTACATGGTTGCTAAGCTACGGATATTGAAAAGAAATTTACCCTATAACATCGTAACTTATGATCCTTTTTTGAAGTGCATTTACACTGCTGCATCTTTCGCAAAAATTCCAAGTTCAAAGCAATTTATTGTTTTCTGCTTCTCATAAATCAGTATCGTAACATGTAACAACATGCTAAAAATAATGTGATTATTTTTGACGCATACCGAGTGTTAACATTTTCAGGCGTATCAAATTTTGACTGTAAATTTTAGATAGACAGCATGTTAGCCACTGTTACCGTATATGTAATTCTCAGTAAACAGATATACTACTTAACTCTATGTTCATTAAAAAATAACGGCTGTTGCAAATGGAGCATTTGCTAAAAAAAACTTTAGTAGCAAATATTTTTACATTTTTTAGTGGTAACCACTAAAAAATGTAAAAATATATAAAAATGTAAAAATTTCAGGGAATGTAAGTCACTGCGCTGGAAACGATTAATAAATGGCCGATATTTTGAAAAGTCAAAAAGTAAATAAAAAATTGAAGATATAAATATGTGATTTATTGCGTCCTTCTTACGAAACCAGATAATTCGTTCTGGACAAATCTCATTAATAGTTACAATGTTTATCAACAGATGGCGCTGTTGAATGTGAGAAATTCTGAAGCATTTTTTACTGTTGTGTCGTTGATAATACCAATTGAAATATTTATATGGGCTTTGATTGGTTTTTGTCCTCACAATCTGCTGCTGTTGCAAATAGAGGAAATATTGTTTTATAACTTTTCTCAGTTAGCAGCGCTATCTATAGATGAAGTAGGTAAGTAATTTATAAACTTGGTTTGAATAAAATGGTTGAATGCAAAATAAATTTCTCTTTACATAAGAAAAATATTTACCTTAAACTAAGAAACGATAACAAGGAAAATAAGAAGTCCTTAAAACAAAAACAAAAAGCATGCATTTTTATTACAAGTATTTTTCATATTCACTGATTAATATAAAACATTATTTATTTCGAGTTAGACAGAAAACACATAAGACAACATTTAATTTTTGCAGTTGACGCTTGATAATATCATATCCGACGCTTTCTCAGCAATCATGATTGTTGGAATATTGGTGTTACCAGTTGTGATTGTTGGCATAACAGATGAGTCAACCACTCGAAGATTTTTTATCCCCTTGACTCTGAAATAAAATGTGAACAAATTTTAAAAAAAACATATTGATCAAAGAGAGGAAACGTGCCTAATATACGATAGTTCCCAAATATAGGACACCCCAATGTAGTAGAAGAAGACGATGGATTCTGTCAGAAGTAATTTATAGTTTGTCTGAAGTAAGAACTCCCCTATCCATTCGTCTGGACCCAGGGCGGTGACTATGGTAACGAGGTATAACTATTTCAAGCAGGAGTGTGGGGTCATTGTTTAGGACAGGTTTTGGCTCGAGTCGGCGAGAGAAAGGGAATATTTTTCTTTGGTCTATTGTGTCAGCCCTAGAGCGAAGAGAAGCTACCCTCCCTGAAATGTGCCATTCTTGTTTCCATAGCAGCAGACGGCCTCAGACTTTGTGGCGGAGAGGGATCTTACCATAGACAAACTATAAAATGCATGTGTGAAGTTATGGGAAGACTACAATGGAAAAGCCAGAAGTCTACTATTGGTTGTGTATCACGTATTTTGTCATAACTTGAGAACTTTTTATGCGAAGCCCAAGTTTGAACTCCTTAATGTTAATTTTACATTTCGCGTATTTCGTAATATCTCGAGAACTTAAGCGAAATTTTAAGCGAACATAAAATTTGAGTGAAATCGGTCGAATAGTTCCTGAGAAATCAAACTTTTTTAAATGCTTCTCCTTTAAAATTCAATTTCTCTTGAACTAGTCGCCCAATTTCGTTCAAATTTTGAATATTGTCATTTGAAATTACGTTCTTTATAATTATGAAAAAAATTGTACAGTATACGATTCGAAAGTTATCGACATTTTATCAAATAAATTAATTTAAAAAAATTAAAATAATTATTAAATTTTTTTTTAACATGAATTGTCTATGGAAAAACTAATTTTATAATTTTGTGCAAAAATTTTTGCGAGAAGCTTAAGATTTCGTGTTATAGCTAAATACGCAATAAGTAACTCCCTAACTTTTGACTGCTCTTCTGTATAAACTATTGGGATCCTATATTTCTGATTGCTTACCCCTCAAAATTTGAGGGTCGAGAATCCATCGGAGAAAAAAAAAATGCATGTTTATTCAGAGAAAGTATGTTTTTGACTTTTGAGTCGGATTTCGTTACTTTAAATATAGTCTGCTCTAATTAATCAGTATATTAAAAGTTGTGCCTTTGAATCACAAACATTGAATCTTGGTACGTAATTATCCAACCAATCAAAAGTTATTCAAGGCGTTTCTTTTTTGCGTACTGTATATAAATCTTCATCTGTAGTAAAAAATTACAAATTTCGAAAGGGATTTTGTTGAATAGTTGTCAAGAAATAAAAATTTAAACATACGACTTGTTTGAGATGGCGAAATGCGCAAAAAATGAAATAAATTAAAATCAATGGGCAGTAATTTTTTGCGACTTTCTTTCTTGCCTAATCTATTGCGATAATATTTTCCAAATTGGCGTGCTAGTCACCAAATCCTAAAGCTACGATAAAACAGTTATTTTTCATCATATTTGAATGCAATTTTCGACATTAATTACTAGAAAACGTCACGTTAAGATGATTGGTTAAATGAAGATACCACTTCAAAAGCTCACCAGAAGGAGTTTTTGTAATAGGAAAACACTCCAAGCAGCGTATAATGACATTTCTAGCCAGGGGATGCTGTGCTGGATAATGAGCCGGTTTTACGAAGACTTATGATTAAGGCTAATGATGAACCCTACTTTCTAAGTATGTATTAGAAAACAGAATAAAAATTTAGCGAGACAAATATAAAGCACTTGCTTCCCAATGAGGTGCCCGGATTTAAATCCCAGCAATGGCTAGTAGAAGCGAATTTCACACCAGTGCTGACGCAAAATATTCTCAATGGGGATCACGGGTTAGAGAGTCCCGTTACCGAACTGTGGTGAATTTTCATGGTTTTTTCTCTCCACGTACCGCAAATGTGGGTTAGTTTCACCAAGAAGCGTCCACGAAAGCAAATTTCTCAAAATACTTGATTCAGGAGTTACAGTATCTTCTGGATTGGGTTCAAAATTACAAGGCTACGGAGTTGAACATTAGTAGTCGTAAACTCAAAATTGCGTCGGCTGTTAAACGATGGTTATAAAATAAAATATGAGATCATGTGTTTTAGATTTACCTTAACTCTGGATCCACTACACTCATGTTATCTCTGGGATCACCCATCTTTGCAGTTCCAGCATAATGGTAGTAAGTAATAGGTACTGTAATCACTTGACACCTGTAATACTCATCTTCATTGCCAGCGTATTCTTCACATCCGGGATAGAGAGTATCAAACCTCTTAGTGCCGATTTCTTTCATTGGACGCGTGTCTGCAAATCTCCTGCAGTCTTTTAGTGCTAAAAATCAGCCGAAAAGTGAAGAAAAAAAAGTTTAAATATTTGAGTTACTTATAAAAGTAGAGAGGTGTGGCATTTTCATGTAGCATCACACACATTCATATCCGTATGTTTTGCACAAGCCCAGTAATGAATTGTTCGGTAGTAATTGACCTGGCCAGAGCTTACATGCGTGAATGTGCGGCTTGCGAAAATGCTATATTCCGCTGCAATAAGTTAAGAAAAGATATGCGGTATAGGATTTAAGTAATCATCCGCAACTGCATATAGTTCCGTTTTATTTCGTTATCAAATTATACAAATATGCTTTCAAAAACAATCTAAAAACTTTAAAAAGTTAAGCAGTTCAGACAGAATTTTAATACGTGCTATCTTTTACAAAATATACATCATCGAATTATTAATAAAAAGTTTATAATTTCGTAGTCATACTGGAATCCTAGACATGGCGACATATTTCGATAAATAAGGAGAACAATGGATTTGATTGGGCAGCTAAAAATGGCGCGTCTTATGCTGACATGCCCTTAGCAAATCACGTGCGTGATAAATAATTTTAACTTTATTTCAATGTAGAAGAAAGTCGTCTGCAAGAAACGATATTTATTATTCTTTCATCAGTTTCTTTAAATGAGAGTTGGCGATGTTGATATTCGTTCTTACTGGGAGCCTGGCATTCATTTGGAGTACACTTATATATGCAAACAGGGTCTCGCCATAGGGATATTGGTTTTTTCTTTTTAGTGCAGACCAAGTTAAAGAATTTGAAGTACTATTAGGAACAAAGTTGTAAAGTGTGCCAAGCGCCATTTGATTTATTTATTCCTCTAAACTAAAGTAATTGATCCCATTAGCTATCATTAATTAAAAGAAAAGTTTAAAGAAGGATTTTGGATGCAGAGAGCATCGATGGTGCGTGAAAGTTTAGATACTGTAATGAGATGTACAGGGTGTTTAGAGAGGCAGACATTATCAACAATATTAAAGTTCATGGAATTTGCTGGACACATCTGCAGCATAAAACCATTCTCTTTACCGTCCTGAGTCTTCAATTTCGAAGTAATTGGTACCAGGAATGTAGTGGATTGCTTGTGTTCAAATTTACGATACATATTGATTTGCTGCGCAAAAACAATATTGCTTAAAATTAAGGTATTTAGATAAAGGTACGGGGAATACGATAATATCAAAAGACAATTAACATTCAATAACTAGTCTGAGAATGGTAAACCGATTGTAAAGAAATACTATATAGACTGCTTTGGAACCTGCAGAAATACTAAACTGAGTTGAAATCTGGCAAACTGAAAAGATAATTTTTAATTATGAACTAAACTGAACTTCTTTTTTTTCCTTCGAAATTCCAATTTGTTCGAAAGTTATTGTAATTTAAGTGCTTTTTCGCAATTTTTTCTAACGCGTTTGCTACGCGTCGTATAAAAATATAGCTTTAGTAGTGTAATTTAGTACAATTTAAGTTGATAAGGCAAAGAAAGGAGAAAAAGTTCAGCTCTCAGAATACGCAACTAACGAGGGGAACTGCTTGGTTCGGTATGCTATGCCAGAAAAACAACTTACAGGGTGAGCAACATACTCGGATTTAACAGAGCATCATATGAACTAACATCCAGCGCATGCGCATAAGAAGCAAAGTGACTGCCAGAAGGTATAGTTTGTCTAAACTAAGAACTCTTCCCGCCGCAAAGTCTGAGGCCGTCTGGTGTTATGGAAACAAGAATGGCGGATTTTAAGGAGGGTGGCTTCACTCTAGGACTAACACAATAGACCAGTGTTTCCCAAACTTATAACTTTTGTGTACTTCTTCTAAATTTTTCGTAACGCTGTGTACCACTGATAAAAAAAATGAATGTATTTTTTACTATAAAAAAATTGCACAACAGTAAAAAATCACAACTGGCTGTTGACACCACTAAATATTAACTGTTAACTCTGCAAAAAATAGCCAATAGAAAAATACGTAATCGTTAATTTTCATGGCTAGCTTTGTTTTTGAATGAAATTTTTTAAACTTTTCGCTTGTTGCAAGATATTACGCATAAGAACACGTACCCCCTCTAAACGGTTCCCGTACCTCTGGGGGTACGCGTACCACACTTTGGGAAACNGGAACTGCTTGGTTCGGTATGCTATGCCAGAAAAACAACTTACAGGGTGAGCAACATACTCGGATTTAACAGAGCATCATATGAACTAACATCCAGCGCATGCGCATAAGAAGCAAAGTGACTGCCAGAAGGTATAGTTTGTCTAAACTAAGAACTCTTCTCGCCGCAAAGTCTGAGGTCGTCTGGTGCTATGGAAACAAGAATGGCGCATTTTAAGGAGGGTGGCTTCACTTTAGGACTAACACAATAGACCGAAGAGATTTCTTTTTTCCTGCCGAAACCACTCCAAAACACTGACCCCGCACCCCTACTTGAAATAGTCATACCTCGTTACCATAGTCATCGCCACAGGTACAGACGAATGTCTGGAGGAGTTCTTATTTTAGATAAACTATACGTCACCTGTGAACCAGTTGTTTGGCAACTCTATTTGTATGGTTGGGTACGCTACCAGTCGCATCGCTATTTTATTTTTTCTTTCTTTGTCAAACTGTGTTAGCAGATTTAATCGATATGAATGACATTAGTGTATTCTCAAAGCCATATCATTATTAACAGTACAATACCGTTTATCAATAATGTAAATTGCTGAACAAACCAGTAATAAATAAAAAGAGAAATGTTTTCTTTTTCTCCACAACCCCAGTAGTGGTTGGGAGGAGAGGAGGGTGGACACCAGTTTCAAGAACTTCTACTGCGTGTCCGTAAATGTTGTTTTTCCTTAATACACAGGGACCACACCAAAACTTGAAAGGCTGGTTTACATTATGCCTACGGAAGCTAGCCTTCTTCCTCTATGTATATTGTTTGCGTAAGGCATTTAAACTTTTCTCCACATTTTCAGTAGAAATTATTAGGTTTGGCAATATTTTGTAGAAAAAATTAAAAATCAAATTATATGTTTTTAGATCCCCGAATCTTACCTTCAACAATGTCATGAACATCAGATGGATCTTCAAAATAATTTGGATCTATGAGAGGAGGGTCTTCTGGATCAGCTGATTTCAGAGTTATAGTCCCTCGGCTACCTGGATGCATAAGATGAACAAGACATCCAAGATAGGGAGTAAAAGTGTATTTTGAATATACTTGAGAAAACACCTAGAAACAATGATTTTATAAGATTTCAGCTATAGTCCATAGTTTAAATAGGCCTTTCACAATTGATTTTCTATTCCTTTAAAAAAAAATTCTTCGATTTGAATCTCAAATCGCTCAATATATTAAAACTACACGATTGTTTGAAATCAAGGTGATCACAAACACTCAAAATAAGAGATTCTCTGATTCCCTAAGAGTAAGAAATTTTTCACTGATTTAATCGAATTTTCCCGATTTTTAGAAACTCTGGCATAGATTTATTTTCTACTTTTCTTGTTATTCCTTATTTTTATGCGCGAAACGCATTACAAAACACTTATATTTGCTATTAAAGCTGAAAATAAATATATTTTTTTTCAAAAAAAAAAAAAAAAAAAAAAAAAAAAAAAAAAAAAGGAATATTACAAGACCAATTTTGTTGATGTAATTATTGGACTTTCAGATTTTTCAAACTGAAACAAATTCCTTTCTCTAAACTTTTAGGGGATTTCAGTTGAATTCCCTGGTATTTTTCTCACTTTTTAAGATTGTTAAACTTTTCCAGACTATTCCCTGATTTCCTTGCTTTTGGCCACTCTCAACTTACAATTCTCCAATTTGCAAAGCTGCTCGCTTTAGAAATGACACGAAATTTAGACATCGTTTTAGTTCATGTGCTCATAATTTAGTAAATCAAATGAGCTCATTCATACACATACGCTTTAGAAGGTTAATTTATTTAAGAGAATTCTGTCTTTTTTTAGACTAGAATTGTGCATCAGTGAATAGTTAACTCTCATCTGCGTAATGTCTGTCACCTACTTTTATCCGCTAAGTCATCTGCACGCGCTGTGGGAAAATCTTACGTTTTTTCAAGGAACATTTCACAGGTGCTAGAGAATCACTTATTAGCGACTTCTTACACTTTTTGCTTATCTATTTTGTATTATTTATTTACTTGTAGCCTACAGAAACCAGCTGGTGAGTTTACATCTACTCACTGTTTCGCGTCTGCCTTAGTAAAAAGCTCTAAGAAAAACTGTTAGTTAGCATGATTGTTCCTCAGACTAATCAACCCCGATAATTACGAAATATCTAAATGAATCTTTTTTTGTTTTTGTTTTTACTATCCTATAAAGCTTATCCTATCTTTATAGGATATAAAGCTAGCCTATCCTATAAAGCTAACTTATATTCTATCAAGGTGGAAACGCGTTGCTTAGATATGCAGTCATTTGGCTAGTTACCCCGATGTTAACAAAATAACGAAATTAAACCTTTTTAGTTTTTCTTCATATCAGATAAGGGCCACAATGGTTCAGTTTTGAGACTTTAATTAAGAGAAAATAAAAACGTGTTAAAGCAATGCTGTCATTATTTTTATACGTTTCACAAAGAACACGTGATTGAGACTTTAAGCTTTGTTAAAATTTGGTATTTAATGTTATTTTCAGTTGAGCTAGCTATCCCTATAACGCAAGAACATAATATCCAAATTAAATTATTTTTTAGTTTTCCTATTTATCTCGTAAGGAACAAATGGTCCAAAACTGAGGTTCCTGTCTTGAAAAATAATTTTTTTTATAACTCTATTAGTAATAAAATAAGCAGGTAGGTAGGTATAGGCACTTTATTTTCGTCGCACTATAGCTGCACAATGGGCTATTGGCGACGGTCTGGGAAGCATCCCTGAGGATGATCCGAAGACAAGCTATCGCAATTTTGATCCTCTGCAGAGAGGATGGCACCATAGCTTGGGTAGCCTGGCGACCTGCGTGCGAAGTCGAGCATTTTACGGTAAGAGGCCGATACCCTGCTCACTCGGTCCCTACGCTGACTGATCAAAGTGGTCACCTACCCGCTTTCTGACCGCAACCAGTGATTCTTGACTCCGGGGTTCTACTGGGGATCGTGTCTTTACGATCCGTCCACTGAGGGACATAAACTAAGTAATAGGAGTCCTTAGAATATATTTAACTTGAAATTTATGATACACATTAGTATTTAGACTTTAGGTGTGACATCTCCTCCCTTAGATTCAATGCATGGGGATTGAGGCAGCTCGTCGTCTTACCAAAAAAAAATAATAACATGACAACTTTTTACGGTTTTCCATTAAAAAAATAAGTATATTTTCTCCATTAATTTTGCCGTTTAGTTCAGTTTTTTTTTTAAATTTCAATTAGTTCCTAGTACTAACAAAATTAATTTAGAATCACTGAAATCAATTGTAGTTTGCCGATTTTTTGTGCTCTCTTAATTGAATCAGTATAAAATTTCTCCAATAATTCAACTTTTTAGGTCATAGCTAATTTCTTTACTTCAACTAATAACTGTTGCCAAAATAATTACAATTAGATTCAATAAATAATATAGGTGTTCTGTTTCACGTTATTCAACCATAATATAATTATCCGTATTTCCCAAATTGCGGTTACCCCTTATATTTTGGGGGTCAGAAACCCAAATCTGTTGGAGAAAAAAAAGGTATGTTTACTCAGAGAAAATAAGCTTTTTCGTCTGTTTTCGTAACTTAAATTATCGTCTGCACTTATTAATTAGCATATTTGAGGTCACCCATTAAAAGCCATTAAGACACAAAAACCATTGATCCATTGAGTGAACGTGAAGATCCGATCCTTAGATGAAATGTTATTCAGGGTGGTGCGGGGTTCTTTTTTGCGAACTGTACATACCTTCAGCAAGTCTTTTGTTTTCCTTAATTATTTTTTTAATAAAAATTAAGCAGCACTTAGGTGACATAATGCAATTTGGTTGATGTTTGCTGCAATTCCATTTGGGTTAATTGCTAAAACCCAAAATTTCATTTATATATATACTAGCTGACCCGGCAAACGTTGTTTTGCCATATGAATTATTTCCAGAATATGAAAATATATCTTATTTGTTGTAAGTGTGTGCGTAAGTGGTATATGAGTGGAAGAGGCATGGAGCGCTGTGAACGTTGACGGAATGTGAAAATAACAACACACTAAATAATAATTTTTTTTAATTTATGTTATCTTTTTTTCATAAATTATATATGCAACGAATTCTGAAAATATTAGTCAACAATATTAATCTCTTAGTGCAATGGAGTGTACAATATTTTTTGTCATTCCATATTTAGCTAACACAAATAAACTGGATGGTTTGCCCACTCGAGAGCATGCCACGTATCTGTGCGAAAAACATGGTTAAGAATATTTTCGTT